ACTTAATTCATTATGGAGGTCTGTTCTTAACCTGAAACTGTTCTTAACTTGAGGTACCACTTTAGCTAATGGGGCCTCCCGCTGCCGCCATACCACCGCCATGCAATTTCTATTCTCATCCTGAAGCAAAGTTCTTAAACCAAGGTACTATTTCTGGGCTAGCGGAGTCTGTAACCTGAAGCGTCTGTAACCTGAAGCGTCTGTAACCCGAGGTACCACCGTAATTAGCCATTCTGTTAACAGCTGGCTATATGGAGATAGCCATATGTTGGAAAACTGGTGTTGGGATGAACAATGATTCTTGGTATACCAGAGTATGGTTAATAATAATAATAATAATAATAATAGGACCCTGCCCATTTGGCTGGGTTTCCCCAGCCACTCTGGGAGGCTTCCATCAGGATATAAAAGCATAATAAATCATCAAATAAAAAAACTTCCCAATACAGGACTGTCTTCAGAGGACATCTAAAAATTGTGTAGTTCTTTATCTCCTTTACATCTGAAGAGAGGGCATTCCACAGGGAGGGTGCTACCGCTGAGAAGGCCCTTTGCCAGGTTCCCTGTAACTTCACTTCTCACAGTGAGGAAACCACCAGAAGACCCTAGGAAGTGGACCTCAGTGTCCAGGATGAATGATGGGGGTGGAAACACTCCTTCAGTCACATTGGCAGAGAAACAGCATGTCAGGGCCAAGCGGCAAACACAATCCCTATTCCTTTCATAACATATGGCAAATGTTTATTGAACACATAAATTGTTCTGACTGTGGCAGGAATCCACCCAACACTCATGGGAAAATGTGGCATGATTTTTTTGGAGCATACAAATGCAACTTTATTACATAGCATGACGAAAGTCTGTAATTTTATCAGGACAAGTTATTTGTTGTTTACTGTTGGAAATTGTTTTCTCAAAATGTATCTTCTGTACCATGAAAAATAAATGAAAACATTGTTTAAAAGAAAGAAAGAAATCTAACTGTGAAATGGAAAGAAAAAGGCTTAGAGAAAACTCAGTCAAGTTAATTCACAGATGGCAGATGGCATCTAAACACCCATAAGACATTTACATAGACAAAACATATTTGCCAGCATACTGGAGAGATGCAGAGCAACTGGTACAACATTCCCTATAAGGTGGACATTATGGGGAGGAATATTCACTGAAGCCTCCTGCCAACCTAGCAGTTTGAAAGCACGTCAAAGTGCAAGTCGATAAATAGGTACCACTCCGGTGGGAAGGTAAACTGCGTTTCTGTGCGCTGCTCTGGTTCACCAGAAGCGGCTTAGTCATGCTGGCCACATGACCTGGAAGCTGTACGCTGGCTCCCTCAGCCAGTAAAGCGAGATGAGTGCCGCAACCCCAGAGTCAGCCACGACTGGACCTAATGGTCAGGGGTCCCTTTACCTATTCACTGAAGCAATATTAGAAATCAGAAAGTGCTGTGTAATCAAAGTTTGAGTTATTAACAATTTTTAAGGAAGAACAACTTGCTTTGTTATATAAGGATCATTATTTTCCTTCTGGTGGCAACACTATTACGTATAGCACAGAATTGGAAGAAACATCTGCATATCACACAATGGAAAGAGAATGTAAGAACAATTACCCTAACTGAAAAACTAATGAAGAGGGTACATGCATTGAACAATACAGCTGATGCAGACATTTCATTTGGTATCTCATCATAAAATATTCAAATGAACATCCTGATGACAGGCATCCACCGACCACACACATGGACGTATGGCAAAATCTTAAATATATAAGTCTTCTGTTCAGGGGTGGGAGGATGGAGAATGAGGAAAACTTACTGTTTTGTTTATACATTTTGGAAATAATTTAAAAATTATTATTTTTAATAAAATAATAGTTGGCAACTGTTTGTTGCAGATAGTCAAATTACAATTGAATAAATAGAACCGGCTCCCTCGGCCTGTAAAGCGAGATGAGCACCGCAACCCCAGAGTTGTCTGCGACTGGACTTAACTGTCATGGGTCCTTTACCTTTTCTTTTTTTCTTTTTTCTTTTTTTACTAAAGCCCTGTCTCTTCGAGTCTTCATTCCAGATGTCCAGGCAGTGAAATGACTTCCTTTATTGTAGAACCATCAATCCCTCTTGATTCATTTATTTCAGAAGTATGAACTCTACCAATACATCAGTAGATGCTGGCCAATTCACAGATATCCCTCTAGTCTGAATTAACATAAGCCCCACTATGTGTAAGTCTCCAGATTTCCCAACAAATAATTAACACAGATCTAGATCTGTACTCTGTTGAATCTATTTTGATACCAGTATGTTGGGCCTCCTTGGTTTGTAGCTCTTGGACAGGGTTGCTATATTCCGAAAGGTAAAAATCAGGACACCATGAAAGTTGTTGAGCATTTTTTAGCAGAAACGCCAAAATAAACCCACGACAGTAGTCCTGGAATAGGGCTCATTCTCTCTCTCTCTCTCTCTCTCTCTCTCTCTCTCTTTTCCCACTACTCCCCCAGAAACAGCTCTCTAGCACTCAGTTGGAGCAAACAGCAAGGACCTGAGTAAGGAGAATGCCATCCTATTCTTACCTAATGTTGAGATATCATACATAATATGTAACTGGTTCATGCTCTGTACAAGCAAACTAGAAATGGTGAGCAGGGTTAGGGGTTGGGGTTGTCCTCATATAGTCCTTCTGTTTTTCCTTTCTTTCAGTGACCAATGTATGAATACAATCTGCTAGAGCAACCCTTTGCCAACAAATATCCAACAGGAAGATTTGGAGGTGCCAAGAGTCCAGTAACAGGAGTCCTCTGTCAAATGTCCAAACCCCAAGGGACCCGAAAAACTTTTATGTCTTGAACCATCATGTGATCTTTGGATGAAAGGCTGTATTAAAAAAATTAATTAATTAATTAATTAAAGTAGTAATAAACTGCAATCAAATCTGAAACAGTCTGGAGTCTGGAAAAAAACTTATGGATCAAAAGGTATGGAAGGAAAAATGCCTCACCAAGAATCAACAGTAAAGGGGTAGATAAAAATGGATTGCCTGTTTCCTCCCCATCCCAAGGATTAACAGTATTCCGTCTTGGTCAGCTAGGAAAACCTCTCTGTATGTTTCTACCCCTTGTAAAAGTTGTTCCTAACCTAATGTTATCTAAATATTATAAATAATGTTATCTAAATACAGTGGTACCTCAGGTTAAGAACTTAATTCGATCCAGAGGTCCGTTCTTAACCTGAAACTGTTCTTAACCTGAAGCACCACTTTAGCTAATGGGGCCTCCCGCTGCCGCCGCGCCACCACCGCACGATTTCTGTTCTCATCCTGAAGCAACGTTCTTAACCCAAGGTACTATTTCTGGGTTAGCGGAGTCTGTAACCTGAAGCGTCTGTAACCTGAAGCGTCTGTAACCCGAGGTACCACTGTATTAAGTGTACCTGAGGAAGTGTGCATGCACGCTAAAGCTCATACCAATAACAAACTTAGTTGGTCTCTAAGGCGCTACTCCAAGCTACCAACATGAGTCTGACCAAACTGCGGGAGGCAGTGGAAGACAGGAGTGCCTGGCGTGCTCTGGTCCAGGGGGTCGCGAAGAGTCGGACACGACTAAACAACAACAACAAGGCGCTACTGGAAGGAATTTTTCTCTTTTCTTTCGACTACGGCAGACCAACACGGCAACTAAATATCAACTAAATATCTACCTGCAACTAAATATCTACCTGCAACTAAATATCAGGGGCATGGAGGTGTGGTTCCACTGGGGATATATGAGTGCAGAGGCGGAGCTAGCAGCTCTGGTACCCAGAGCAGGGCACATGCTGTGCACCCGGGGGTGGGGCGATCGTCCCACAGGGGCGGAGTGGCGAGCACGGGGGCGGCACCGCCTGCCGCGACAGTCTCATGGGGGCGGTGCCACTCGCGGCGAGTGTCGGGGGGACGGACGCGGCGGCGATGTCACTCCCACCTCAGGGATGACACCGGGGGCGCGCCGCATCCCCTTCCTTAGCCAGTGCCCTCGTGCTCCGTCCCATAGCTGTCAACCTTCCCTTTTTTGCGGGAAATTCCCTTATTTCAGCGCCGTTTCCCGCTGCTATCTCGGATTGTTCGAGATCCCGTAGACTGTCCCCGGGACAGGTGAGGCTGCTCCTCCCTTATTTTCAAATCCGAAAGTTGACAGCTATGCTGCTGATCCCTTATTTTCGAGGCTGCTGATCCCTTATTTTCAAATCTGAAAGTTGACAGCTATGCTCCGTCCTCTATCCTCCCCAAGTCTGATTTCTCTGCCTGATGTCTGTGGGAACCTGCCCGGCCGCCCCCTTGATTTAATAGACTTATAGAGTTGCAAGGGTTCCTCAAGGATCATCAAATCCAACCCTTCGAAATGCAGGATTTGCTCCTCCAGTGGAGGAAAGAGTATTTGGAAAATCAATGTGGAGGGGAGGGCAATCTTTATTGGGTAGCCTCAGGCAAGCCTTGCCCTAGCCTACTTCCCAGGGCTGTCTTGAAACTCCACTCCAGACTCTCAGGAAGAGAAAGGGCAGTATAACAAACCACACAAACCAAATCTCCAGGGCGCGACGTTTCTGTAGACAGAGTGGAAGAGACAGGGAAGATGATTCTCAGTACAGGACTACCTGGATGCCCAAATTTAAGATGGGGAACACTGTTGGAAGACCTGGACATGGAGGAAGGAATTCATTTCCTTTAAGGGCTCAAATCACCACATGTATGATTTCCCTGGGCAAGCAGCGCGCTGCCCATCGCCTTCCCTTCCACCCTCTGCGCTTTGTGGGCCTCCAGGCAGAGGAGCGAGCAAAGAGCCCCGCTGGGACCGGGACGCCGCTGAGACTACAGGGTCCCGGGCTCTGAGCCAGCGATGCTCTCGGCGGTCCCCCCGACGCCCTCCTGCCTCGCCCACCGACCACGTCAGGGGCAGGAATCCTTAAAGGACGCAACTTGCGCTACGCCCCCTTCCCGGCGTGTTGGCGCACGGTAGGAGGGAAGATGGAAGGGGGTGGCTGCCGAGCGTCCGAAGGAGCCGCGGAGGCTCGCGAAAAGGCCCTCGAGGAGGCGGTGAACCGCTGGACCGGCCCCTTCTACGTCCACCAGGCCCTTCAGGCTTTCCGGGCCGGCCGCAGCCGGGACTTTCGCCAGCTGCGGGACGTCGTATCTGGTGGGGAGACCAGTTAGTTTTACGAAAGGGGCATTTGGGGAACATTGGCGCTGGGTGAAATAATTCTCAAGGTACAGTGGTACCTCGGGGACTTAATTCGTTCCGGAGGTCCGTACTTGACCTGAAACTGTTCTTAACCTGAAGCACCACTTGAGCTGCCGGAGCACCATTTCTGTTCTCATCCTGAAGCAAAGTTCTTAACCTGAAGCACTATTTCTGGGTTAGCGGAGTCTGTAAGCTGAAGCGTATGTAACCTGAAGCGTATTTAACCCGAGGTACCACTGTATTTCCTGCTGAGGAACGTGAATGTAAATAACTAATAATAATAATAATAATAATAATAATAATAATAATAATAATTTTATCATTTATGTGGCTGGGTTTTCTCAGCCACTCTGGACGGCTCACAGCATACAGTATATCAGAACATACTAAAACATCAAACATTAAAATATATTGCCTAATAGCCCCGGTTCCACTTATGTCACTATTACGTATTTACATTTATATATCACATTTAATAGTCATTAGGTGTTTTCATTTAAGAAAAAGTGAACCTAAAGCAACTTAAAATATAATACAATCTATATCCCTGGAATGCTTGTCATTTGCCTTTAGAAATTAAGGGAACCGATTTTAAAAGAAAAGGCACAACGTACAACTAACCAACAGCACAGAACTCAGAAGGTCAGTCTGAAAACAGCCAGTTGTGATTCTCAGCAAGATGGTTAGGATACATGCCCCCTTAAATGAATGCCTCCTAAAGCCCATCACAGATGGTCATGAGAAGGGTTAGGATCCCCCCACCCACCCGTAGCCTCCTAAGTACAGTGGTACCTCGATTTATGAACTTAATCCATTCTGGAAGTCCGTTCTTAAACCAAAATGGTTCTCAAACCGAGGCGCACCTTCCCTAATGAGACCTCCCGCGTCCGGTGCCCTTCCACCGTTCGTATTCCGTTCTTAGACTGAGGTAAAGTTTTCAAACTGGACACTATTTCCGGTTTTGTGGAGTTCGTAAACCAAATCGTTCTTAAACAGGACTGTTCTTAAACCGAGGTACCACTGTACTGTACCTGAAAACTTCAGCGCCCTCTTGAAATCTATTTCAAATTGGAGAATGTTGATGCGTATATTAAGAGAATGAGTTTAATGAGTTTTGGGTATGGCCTGTAGTTGAGTCTGATGGTTTCCAGAAGCCAACCGCTAGGAATGGACTAGCACCTTTGGAGTATAGTTTTAAGAAGCTCAACTACTTTACCACCCGTTTTCTTACAGTAATTATTTCTGTATGTCTGTAAATAAAACCTGTACATACTGCATTTCTGCCCTACAAAACAGGAGCCCCAACAAAATATCTGACCACAAAGATGAAGACACTAAAAAGCGATGTGTTTGTGTATATATGGATACTAAGGATATTGTAGATTACACACAAAAAGCAAGCAAATGCGAAGTGACTCTTGGGCCAAAGGGCATGTTGGGATGAAGTTGGCTGTCTGTATATGGCCCGGGGTATAAGGTATGGGACAGGGCTTTGGTGCCCTGGCCCAAGCCTCATTACACCTGATTTGCTGAACTATCTGATTTTGCTCAGTGACTGTTCGGACTGTCTTGTTCTTCTCCAGCTGTGCTTGCACGGCCCCTAGCGCAAGAGAAATGTATTGGCATTCAGCTGCAGATTGTGCAGTTTCTGTCTAAGATTGATGAAAATTGGACCATTGATCCCAAGACCAAGTTAATGCCTCTTGAAGATGCCCTTGTTATTTTGGATAAGATGAAGGATGAACTGGACTTAAACATTGAGGTAGTAGAAGAAATAAGAAAAAAAATAAAGGAAGCGGTAAGTGTTAGCATTTCCTCTTCTGTAGGCACTGATGACTGTTTCTCAGCCTAGTTAGAAAGTATGAGGACTGCTGTCTTTAAGTTTCAAAATGCAGTATATTTCAGAAAGGGTTTAATGAAGGTTGAAATTCAATGCCAGGATTAACTCTTGCCTATTTTTCTCCATGCTTAAATTAAGCTTTTAAATAAGTTCACAAAAGTTAGTAGAAGCAAGGAGGCAAGATTCCTAGATGGTGGGATGAAATGGGAGAGAAATGTATGCTCAAAGGTGCCTGAGTTTAATGGAACTCAGCATGTTTTCCTTCTTCGGGAAATCCAGGGTAACCCAGGAAAAATTGGCTTCTTGACTGACTCTCCTAAGGCATCCATTATTCCAATGTTGTTAGCCTATAGATATTTAAGTAGCTTGCCTTACTTGAATTTAAAAATAATTTTCTTTAATAAGTGATCTAATATTACACAATGAAAACCCACTGAGTTGAAAATGTAAAGCAGATCCAGAATACTGCCGGGGGGTAGCTCTCAAAACGGTATCTTCTTAGATTAGGAACATTCCCCCAAAGTCTTCCTTGCAAACCATTATTTTGTCTTTCTTCTTCAGGCTGTCATAACCTGCATTAAAAACAAAAAAATATGCACAAGCCAGAATGATCTTGAATAAACACATGACAAAGGACTCAAGTTCCCAGGTGAGCTTTCAGCAGGTATGAGTTCATGTTGCAATTGTTGTTGTTGTTGAAATGTGCCTCTTGTAGGGTCATTTCACTACAAAGCAGAGTCATGGTTTGTCCTTCCCACATTCTCCAATTCAGTGAGTGTCTTAAATACTTAGGAGTTTATTTTCCTCCTTACGCAATGAGAAAAATTATATCCGCAAGCAGCACATGTTGCTACCGATTGTGCTCTAGTCATCATTACTTTCATGCATTAGTGACATTACCTAGACTGCTCTTGTGGTTTGGTTTGGCTTGTTTTGTTTAAACGTCTAATGACTGCAAAAATTGCTTTTATCTCTGCCCTGCGCTGCAATTTGCTTGCAAGTTCTGAAAAACATTTCCCTTTTCTTAGAAAATGAGGTCAATGTTGCAGAGAATCATCCAAAGAAAAAACTTAAGTCATCCAGCCATCTTGAACTTCTCCTATAAAGTTTTCCAGCAGAGAATACTTCTGTCTTTAGAAAGCTGCTGGAGTGTCTCTGAGCCCTTTCTCTTAGAGGTAAGCAAGGCTATGGGGTGTTGTTTGATTGTTGTAGTAGTGGGAGGACTATAGCTCAGTAGCCGAGCATCTGCTTTGCCTGCAGAGGGTCCCAAGTTCAATCCCTGACATCTCTAGCTAGGACTGGGAATGTCCCCTGCTTGAAACCCTGGAGAGCCACTGTCACTCAATGTGTAGTGATGGAAAACTATGTGAGCCAGCTTTTTTTCTTCCTATGTTCCTGTGTGTTGCTGGAGCACTTGAATATCACCCACATTGCCACAGCAGAGCTCTTGCCGTCTAACCACTGTGATCAAAAAAGCACATTCAACACCTGAGGCTTAAGACAGAAGCCTTCTCCCTGGACTAACTATTATGTGTTTGGGAAATATTTTTGTGAAGAGCAAAGTGCCCCACTGCAGAACAGAACAGGGCTGCAATGTCACATTTGACATACAGTGGTGCCCCGCAAGACGAATGCCTCGCAAGACGGAAAACCCGCTAGACGAAAGGGTTTTCCGTTTTGGAGGTGCTTCGCAAAACAAATTTCCTATGGGCTTGCTTCGCAAGACGAAAATGTCTTGCGAGTTCCTGCGGGATTCCCCCCCCCTTTTTCCCAAGCCGCTAAGCCGCTTATCAGCTGATCCGCTAAGCCGCTAAGCCGCTTAACAGCTGATCACTAAGCCACTTATCAGCTGATCCGCTAAGCCGCTTATCAGCTGATCCGTTAAGCCACTAAGCCGCTTATCAGCTGATCCGCTAAGCCGCTTATCAGCTGATCCGCTAAGCCCGCTAAGCCGCTAATAGCGCTAATCCACTAAACCGCTAATGGGCTTGCTTCACAAGACGAAGAAACCGCAAGACGAAGAGACTCGCGGAACGGATTCTTTTCGTCTTGCGAGGCACCACTGTACATCAAGCTTGTAACCTGACAATGTTTTGGACTAGCAATACCCAACAGCTCCAGCATCATGAGGCTGTGCTGCCTGGGACTTAGGGGAGTTGTAGGTAAAGCATCTTCAGGGCACCAGCTTGGGCATGGCTGCTGTATAGAAGTAGAAAAAGAAAAAGAAAGTAGAGCAGTGTTGTCTAGTAACTGTGTTCACACACTCTGTTTAAGATGGCAAAAAAGGATTTGGACGATCAGATAGAGACTGGGCTCAATCCTTTGGAAATGGCCAGCAAGGAGGAAATGGTGAAAGATACCTCAGAGTTGGCAGCAGCAGATAAACCTGAATCTGTGGGAAGATCTGATGAGACTTTGGAAGAGCCCAGGCCTGAGGGAGGGCTTAGCAATACAGTGGAAGAACAGCCAAAGTCTCTGGAGGGAGGCCGTGAGACAGTTGCAAGGCTTTTGATGGAGGCAAAGGGAGCTGTTTTGGAAGTTGCTAAAGTGGTTGATGAGTGCCAGGCAGAGGAGGAGAACCATGCTGCCTTCAGGCCACACCCTAGTGAATGCTCAGTGTCCCTAAGCACACTGGTTATGGGGTCAGAGAGCGGGAACCTCCCAACTTCCTGCCAAGTTTCATCCAAGAGGCCTGCGGCAACTTTGGATGTCCAGACTACACAGCCCCAAATACCCACCCAGCCTGATGATACCTCCCAATCTCCGAGGTAAGAGTCCATGACTGCTGTGAGGTCTGCTGGGGAGCTGGCACAGCATGAAGCATTTGGTGCCACTTTCCCCTTTGCAAGGAATCCATTCGAAGGCCTTAGGCCTCAGCCCAGAAGCTCCAAGGAAGGCAAAGGTGGTTTGCAGTGGTAGGGTTGCATTGCTCTGCATCTTCTCCCCCAGCTAGTAGAATCAGGTTGCGAGAGAATCAGGTTCACATACCTTGTCTTAATCTTTATTACTCAGATTGCAAAGATAGCAGAATTGACAATACGGTCTCTGGCCCCATTAAAGACTGCTAACCAAATTTATTGTGGCAGAAACACCTGTGCCAGACTCTGCTTTGTCAGATGCCTGGAATGTTAGCTTCAGTTGCCAGACAAAAGGTAGAAAATGTTATTTCTCTCCCCCCCTCCCTCCTTCCGTCAGTTTCAAGGGGGCTGGGCTTAGCACCATTTTGGGTTTAGGTTTCTGCCACCAGCTATTTGCTCATATTTAAACTGTCATAGGTCTCTGCAGTAGTGTTTTTGCTGTGAAAAATTAACCTCACTCCTTGTCTGATACTTAAACTCAGCATCTCCATCATTTTGGTTATGTGTGACATTAACTGATGCAGCTCAGTCCTGTCCCATCTCCTTGTGGGGTAAGTCTTTCCTCACTTGTGTTTCTCTGTTCCATTCAGATTAGCTAAGAGGAGACTAATTTGTTCAGATCAGAATGAAGAAGAGGATCTCCCAGGTGGTGAAGAGGTTCATAGGGACCGGGACCGGCCCGAGACCCTCAGAGACCCCCGACACCTGGGTAAGCAGCAACTGTTTGAATCTGCTTGCCTGGTTTTGGGTGCTCGGCATCAGTGGCGTAGCGTGGGGGGTGCAGGGGGGGCCGGGCACACCGGGCGCAACATCTGGGGGTTAGGGTTAGGGGGCGCAAATCCACAGGTTAGGGGGCGCAAATCCATGGGTTAGGGGGCGCAAATTACTTGCCTTGCCCCGGGTGCTGACAACCCACGCTACGCCACTGCTCGGCATGATCAAGGTTTCTTTGTCCCAAGGCTGCTATTGCAGAAATATAGCAAAGCTACTCTCCAAATAGCAAAGCTGCCAAGCAGCTGAGGCTCTCCTCTGAATGTCAGGCCAGAAGCTTTGAGTTCCCATTGTCTGCTCCATAGATTTGGAACCTGGTGAAGCAGCTAGTATCCTGTACACAGTAAGCAGAGGGGTTTTGGGGTACAGCTCTTGGCTCAAAAAAGTAAAATATTTGGACTGCCTGCTCCAAGTGCACAGCAGCAGCACGGACAAAATCATTGCCTTTTGCCTCAGACTGGCTTCTTGTTCTGCAGAATGCTCAACCATGGTTCCATGCACTCTTCTAATTAAAGCACCTGAAGGGATGAGCGGCCCGAAAAAAGCCCTTTCTAGCCACTGGTCCCGCCCGCCTCTAGCTGCGGTTGGGAGAGGCGCTGCGTTGCGCCTCTCTTAACCGCGGCTCCTATGCCTGCTCTTGCGAGCGGCAGAGGCAACAGCAGAGGGACAAGCGGCCTGAAAGGAGCCCTTTCAGGCTGCTCCTTCCTCCTCCTCTGCCTTTGCTGCTGTTGGCGGTGGAGGAACAAGCAGCCCGAAAGCAGCCCTTTCGGGCTACTTGTTCTTCTTCCACCGCTTCTACCACCACCAGGTTTGTTGTGTGGTGAACCGGCTTATACTCGAGTCAATAAGTTTTCCCAGTTTTTTGTGCTATAATTAGGTGCCTCGGCTTATATTCGGGTTGGCTTGTACTCAAGTATATACGGTAATAAAAGAGGACATGTCTGGCATGCCCTGGACGTATGGCAACCCCAACATAGTTTCATCAGTAGTTGGCTGCCTACGCATCATGCTGCCAAGGGCTGCATAGAAATTGACCACTACCCTGGATTTCTGATGAGGGACAGTAGTGGTAAAACCTCCCAATTACTGAGCCAGTAGCAATAACCAGCATACTGAGTGGTTCCATGCATCCTGTAAAGTTTGTAAATGAATTTGTGTTTCAGAATCGAAGGACAAAAGCAGCAGCAGCAGCCGCAGCAGCAGCAGCACTTCCCTCTTGGGTTCTAAAAAGAAGGTAACCAAGCCTATACCCAGTCTGGAGCTGGGCACACCAGTGAGGACAGATAGGTCTGCCTTGATAAGACCCCTCTAAATGGAGGCCAGTTGATGAGGACCCCCTCTCCCAAATGAAGTAACTGATGAAATCCCCATTAATGGGAACATAGGAAGCTGCCATATGCTGAATCCTGGTCCGTCTAGCTCAGTATTGTCTGTGCTACAGGCTTTCAGGCAAGGTGTCTCTTTCGCAGCTCTACCTGGATATGTCACAGGTTTGAAGCTGGGATCTTCTGCGTGTTCAACCACTGGACTAAGGGGCATCTCCTAGTTATTTAATCAAGGGCAGTGATGGCCAGACTTGGCCCTCCAGCTGTTTTGGGAGTACAATTCCCATCATCCCTGACCACTGGTCCTGTTAGCTAGGGATAATGGGAGTTGTAGTCCCAAAACAGCTGGAGGGCCAAGTTTGGCCATCACTGATCAAGAGTCTTGGATACCCAGATGTTTCCAAGAAGCCTGGGCAATCTCAGCACGTCATATCTGCTATCTTTGATAGCCTCTTGAACCACACTGTAAGGTGGCTGAATTTTATTATCCACATTTTGCAGGAGAACTAAGTGTGGAGAGTGTGCCATCAAGTTGGGTTTAATCTCTCGAAATATGGGCCAGATATTTGCCTGCTGTGAGTCACTGGGCTACAGCCCATGTCAGCGGTAATCCTCTGTTAGCAACAGCCATGGAGCCATCTCCAGAGGGTGGGGTATCTGTCGTTCTGTCATGGGGGCAGGGGCAAGTCTTGCAGCACTTCATGGTTGCTCATGAGAGCCTGTGCCCTCTTCTTTCTAGATCTGGACTTCAGAGGAGCCTCAGTGGATTAAGGAAGGTGTGAAGAAGTTTGGGGAAGGGAGGTGGAAAGCCATCTGCCAGGCATTCCCCTTTAAGATCCGGACGCCTGTGGCGATCAAGGACCGATGGCGGACGGTGAAGAATCAGGGGCTCTTGGGGAATGACCTGGAAGCAAGTGGCTGAGCTTCAACGCTATGTGGACATAGGGTGGGCCAGAAATACTTTTGCAGTGTATTGCATTGGGCCAGCAGGATAGGCAAACATTCTTATTTACTTTTGGAATCAACTTACTTCAACTAGTATTAATAACATACTGTATAAAATCCCACCACACTGGACCAACTCCAAAGATTAGGCATCGCCTTGAGTTAATTTAAAACTAAATGTTATTTTTACTGAAACTGCAGTGTTTCACACATTTTGTGTTGCAATTGTGTTTGTGTCGCACACAAACTATACAATTGCATAGTTATCAAAATATTTCCAGTGTTGGACAATGGACCGTCTTGCTACAGTTGGTAAGAAAGTGATGAGTTCTTTAGATACTACGTTGTTTTTTTGTATCTTGGAACACTGTTAAAATAAAAAGATCCGGAGTGAATTCCGTTGTGTTCTTTATTATTGCTGTTAGCTGTATGTGAACCAGGAACCAAACAACCTGTATACAGGAACAAGTCCACCATAAATGTATATTTGTCCCCTTAGTGTCATATCCACACCAATATTAGGGGCTTATAGCTGATGTGATGTTGGGATGGAGTCCTATACCATCCCAACCAGTGAAAGTTCTTTAATTTTTGCAGACACTGACTTGAAGGGTTTGTTCATCCATATGCCTTTCCAAATTGAGTCTTCCATTGTTACTTTTAGATCATATTCCCATATTGATTTTAGGCTAGACGAGTCCCCAAATTGGTTCTGTATTAAGTGACCATAAATTTTTGATACTATTTCCTGGGTATCCCCATTACCTAGTGGCACCTTGGATCATTCAAAAGAAGTTGCATGCAGTTTAACTTATCAGATCCTTTAGTAAATGTTTAATTTGTAGAATTTGAAGCCTGTTTAAAGTTAATTCCCATCTTTAGTACATTTAAAGTTACTGGTCTTACTCCTGTAAAAAAATCACAGTCTGAAATAACCTAATTTTACCCTGTTCCTTATTTTAGCTTTTAAAGTATAATCTTTCAGGCTGGCAAATGCCTGCAGAGCAGTGAGCAGTGAACAACCTGGGGAGATTCGACTTTCCTTTTTTCCATATCCTCAATTTAGTTTGTAAATATGGGTTATTCATTTGGGCAGTAATCTTAAGGATTAAGGTTTTTGAAAGATAAAGCACATAGCAGACCTAGGCCTATTTGTTTTTCTTCAAACTGATCCATTTCTTACCATCCTTCATAATCATGAAACCTAGCTGTGTCTATTGGAATGCATCATGGTATACCGAGAGGTTTGGTAAACCCCAACCAACTTCATTAAAAATAAAAAATAAAAAATAAAAATTTCATGGGCAACCTTGAAGACTTAACTTGAAATATGAAACAATTTTAGTTTGCCATTTGGAAGTTGGAAAAAAGTAGGGAGGACCCGAAAGAGGAACAGAAAACAAGGAATTAACATGATATGTACTGCTGCAATAGAGCCTAAAATGGAAACGTTAAATTTGTTCCACTTTTTAAAGTCCATGTTCATTTTTAAAATAATGGGATAACTCAGTTTAGATTCATGGCTCATGATTTTTAGAATCAGCACAACCAAGTCTCTAAATGCAGAGCAGCACATAGGTGTATTAAGAATATGACAAGTGTGTATTTGAATCAGTGGTGGAAGACTGAAAAACATCAGCATTGATTTTCCAATGTTTACTTTTAAACCTGCCACTTCAGCAAAGGATGTTAATTCTTCCTTTAATGCACAGGCTGACCCCTTAGGGCCTTTTATCATCACAACAATATCTGCATACATTGTCAACAGATGCTCCTTGCCCTCTCTCGGATATCCTTTTACATTTGGATTAAGACGTAGGATATTAGTGAATGGTTCAAGAGAGAAGGTGAGGAGCAGTGGGGACAAGGGACAACCTTGTTTTGTCCCCCTCCAGATTGCAATTGCTGAGGAGTCTGTTATTGTTAGGGCAGCTGAATTATTTGAATAGAGTTTAGCTATTGCTGTAATAAGGTGATTGCCCAGTTGGCATGTCTGCAAAATGTTAAGAGATAACAGAATTCCAGACCATCAAAGGCTTTGTAATAATAATAATAATAATAATAATAATAATAATAATAATTTATAATATATTATTTATACCCCGCCCAACTAACTGGGCGCCCACTCTGGGTGGCTTCCAACAAAACATTAAAATACAATAATTCATCAGATATTAAAAACTTCCCTAAACAGGGCTGCCTTCAAATGTCTTCTAAAAGTCTGATAGTTGTTGTTCTCTTTGACATTTGGTGGGAGGGCGTTCTACAGGGGGGGTGCCACTACCGAGAAAGCCCTCTGTCTGTTCCCTGTAACTTTGCTTCTCGCAGTGAGGGAACCGCCAGAAGGCCCTCAGAGCTGGACCTCAGTGTCTGGACAGAACGATGGGGATATACAGGGGTATACAGGAGCGCCTAAGGAACATAAAGCCAAGAAGAATGGCTTGGTGAGGCACTGTGAATCACATTCAACAAACAGTCTTCTGGTTTAATCCTGCCCCTGTGGCAGTCTATCTCCTGGGGTAAAATCCTAAAAGCTCAACAACCTCAATTCTAAAAATGCTCAACAACTTGGGGGTAAAATCATAAAAAAGCTCAACAACTGCAAAACTGCAACTGGTCGGCCCTCACACATGTTTACTCCATCAAATCTGGCCCTCTTTGGGCACCCCTAGGCGTAAAATGAGTTGCCAAGCCCATCGGGTCAATGGCTCTTATTATACAGTACTTCAGTTTGTTAAGAGCTTGATCAATTCTTCTGCAGAATGTTATCTTTTCTTGTGCTTTCTTTGTTAAAGGTTTGATACCACATCTTTTCACTATTATTATTATTATTATTATTATTATTTTAGGTATAGGGTTATTTTGGTTATATAAAACTCTATAAACATATTTATAAAACTCCATAAACATATTGCTAATCTGATTTTAGTCATGAGTGAAAGTGCCATATTTAAGGTGCATATTTAAGGTAATTGTTTATGTAAATTGCTTTCTTTTGCTAGTTGTTCTCCCATTAGGACAGACTGTTCCTATCATCACTGTTTTTCCTGTTCCTTTTTTAGCTGGTGGGACTGGCCAGAGGCGGAGCTAGCTGCTTTGCACCTGGGGGTGGGGCGAGCGTCTCACGGGGGTGGGGTGGCAATGTCAAAGACCCTCCAAAACTGGGAGATGCCCTTCTTGTGATGATGCCCACAAAGGAGAAGGTAAGCCATTTCCCTCAAAGCATCTAAGGTGGCCCTGAGGACAATCTTTAAAAATTAATCTAACCATGACAAGGTTCCCTATGTTTCTAAATCTTGAGGGATAGCAAAAGAAGCAGAATGCAGAAAGAATTAGGAATCCTACTTACACTTTAGATGAAGAGTGTCTCTTCTTTGTGTTAGAAAACATTTTTGCTTACTCACAAACTACCTCTTCTCGCCTGAACTATCCTCAAATAGTTGCTCTTCCCAAAGTCCTCATCCCAAAGTCACTCAGCAGAGGGACGTGTCACAATGGAGGACATGACACCGTTACTTTAGCTACCTTGCTTAACAATGGGCATTGTTCCCCATAATATTTATTTTTCAAATATATCTTTCAGTAGGTTAAGCAGTCTTACTTCATTTATTGAGAAAAGATCTAGAGCTGGCTCCATCCAGCACGGTGCATTTCTGGAAAGGACAGGAAACACCACACATACACACTTTTCAACATGGTGGGGTCACCAAGGGAAAACACTTCTGGCCTAGATTACGCCTGCTGTTTCTCACTTAATAGTTAAAAATAACCCCTCTCAACACCCTGTAGTAATCTGTCCAGTATTATGACTTCACCTTTAGGCCTCCTTAGGCTGCAAGGAAGTGAAATGTTATGAGTTTGTGGGTGCCAGACTCACCTGAGTTTCTGGGTGCCAGACACTGAAGCTCTGGACACTGAACATCTGGGGAGTTGATAAGCCTTGTTTAAATGTACCCAGTGCTTCTTTCTGGGGGGACGAAGGAGTATGCATGAATCTAATGGGAGAAAAAAATAAAAATTTTAAAACTAAGGGGCAGTATTTCAATATGAGTAGGAAAATTACTATTTTTCATCATCACAGCGAGCAAAGAAGTGTAAAGTTAATGAGGAGTCTGTAAAAACAAAAGATGTTGTGTAATATAAGGTAATGTATGTTCTTTGTACTTTTGTCTATTTACTGTATTTATTTTCCCTGAATTGAACTATAAAATGGTGATTTTCCTGAGTCAAAATGAGAGTACCCCATATCATTTATTTAGAAAAAAAGGACAGAACTAAAGCATTTACCATTTCAAAGGAATGACCAGGCTACCCAGAAAATGCCATCAAGTAAGGCGTTATCAAGCATCCTGACAGTCAGGAGAGAGGCAACACTCTCTCTCAAATTTCTGCTGGAGACCGTCACCTTCTGTGATGCATGTATGATGTTTTGGGGGGTGGTCTTGGGCTACAGGGTGGGCAATTTCAAAAGTCTTTATAGGGTCTTGCGCAGCATTGTTCTGAGTCTTTCCTACCTCCATGGAAGGAGGGTAGGAAACTGTTGCAACAGAAAATAAAGATCTGCCTTGCTTTCTATGGATCTTGTCTCCTCCATCCATTCATCTTTAACGGATCACGGACTTGGGGGACCCAGTTCCTTGGGGAGTTGGGCAGCAAAACCCAACCCTATTTTTTTCTATAACAGGCCCACACACCAATGGGTGTTCTACAGGGATGTTCACTTTGAGGAAGGGTAGAGAAACCCCCCAATTTAACATTCTTCAGCAATACCTGGCTCTTTTATCTCCCTGACAAAATAGGCACTCACCAGTCAATCACCCACCTACCTGCTGCCCAGCACTCTCCTGCCTGAGCTGACAGAGATGGTCTCAGGGGCTGTCTTGAGGAATCCCAGAACGCTGGTTTTGAGGGACTTCAACATCCATGCTGGCTCCCTGCTATACTCTAGAGCTTAGAATGAGAAAACAGGCTGGAAGACGGCTTGAACGCAAGTGGGGGAAAACTCTGGTTGTATGCAATTGAATACTGGTGAGGGCTCATCATTGAGCCTACCTAGTGGCAGTGAAGACAGCAAAGAAGCTTTACTCTGCTGCCTCCTTTGCATCCTCATTGTGCTGTCCAGCAGAGCTTTTCCAGGTAGTATGGAGCCTGCTACAGTCTGACCTGAAGGAGGTGGCAGAACCAATGGCAGCTTGCTGTGACTTGTTTGCAAGGCATTTTGAGGATAAAATTGCTTGCATTCACCAGGATCTTGACTCCGCTGTTACAGTAGATTAATCTTAAGGGGCCTTGGTGGATTAACATTCTATGTCCCTTTAAATATGCTTGTGGGAGTGGGGCTTATAGGTTTGCTTTGGTTTTTTCCTTGTTTTTATTATGTTTATTATTATTACATTAAACAGTCATGTCTTCCCCCAAATAATTATGGGAGCTCTAGTTTTTTTACATGTGCTGTGAGTTGTTAGGAGAGCCTTAATTGCCCTCCGAGAGTTACAATCTCAGAGTGGTATAAACAATCAATCCTTCTTCCCAGGGAACTCTGAGAACTGTAGCTCTGTGAGAGGAATAGCGGCCTCCTAATGACTCTCAGCACCTGTAGCAAACTACAGCTCTCAAAATTCTTTAGGGAAAGCCATGACTGTTTAAATTGCTATCATAGCTGTTATAAGTAATAAAACTGCTCCTTTCCCCTTAGGGGGTACCCAAGAGCCCATATAGAGTCCTTTTGTAGGTTCTCTATTGGTAGGAGAAAATAACAGAGACCAACCAGAGAATATTGAGAAGCAAAGCAGCTAGTAAGCCTGATCTTTATTAACTGTTGCAACAGGGTGCCCCTTTCACACACAGGAGAAGGAGGAGGACCCAGAACCTGTGGGAATGTTCAGGTGTGCAGGAGAGGATATATTGTGAGTTTATATCCTAATCCAACTTGTGCTAACAAGTTCCCAAAGTATCAGCAGAGTTTATAGACATTCCCCTTTAAGTTGGCAACGGTAACGTCTGCACAGGTTCGCTAGAACCTCTATAATAATTACTCTGGTAATTTCTCCTTTGTTCCCTCTTAAAATACAAGACACGACACAGTCTTTATAAAAGTATAAAAGAGTTTACTCAAGTTCTGTTCACAATATGATCCCAGAAGGCAGACAGCTTTAAAAAGGTTACATACATTCAGAATCTATCTTATACGAAGATAGTCCTTATCTCCTCTCTTGGCTGGGAGCCAAGAGAGCATCCTTAGATCTTTCCTCATTGAAGGAAGATGGCAGAGAGAGAGAGAGTGGCTGGCTGCCCTGTGCTTTTATCATTTACCTGCACAGGTGAGGCCACACCCACCTCTGGTCACATGCGGAGGAAGTCCGTCCCAGGAAGTTTACCTGCTTGCTGGACTGACATCCCTCCCCTTGTTCTAACATGTACACTCTAGGAATATTGTCATTGACTGCTCCTGTGTTTACATCCCACAGAACCAAGGTGTGTCCACCCTTACATAGACATTTTTAATTGCCCAGCCTGGAGTCCAAGACCACCCCCAGAAACATCATACATCCATCCATCACAGAAGAGGTGTAGCCCAAGACCACCCCCCAGATATATTAAATAGTGGGTGGACATAGCAGATGACACAGAGATTTCTCCAAGTAGTTCCTTATAAGTAAGCTGGAACTGAACTGAACAGCAAACCGTTCAGCAGGCCTGCTTTTATAGGCAGTCGACTGTCAACATTGTAACAACAACAACAACCCAGGTTTTCCCGCCTAAATTAACTGACGTGGACCTGAGTGAAAACTATATACACGATACCCCTGGTGGCCAGGGTGAAAACTTCAATACATAACAAAATGCATCATACCTACATCACAGAAAAGGCAGTCTACAGCAGAAATCTGAGTGCGTTGTTTATCTCCTGTCTGGCAAGTTACCTGATTGCATTATCTGGATTTTGGCCACTCTTTTGTTATTATAACTACTTAATTCCTGAATCTAGGTCACAGGTCCACACCCTGTTCATATCTTGAATGTGCCCTGAAGACAGGATCTGTGAGGAAAGAGACAATGGGGAGGTTTCCCACTTTGACCTGGCAGAGAAATATTTGAGGTCAATTTGTTCAGGACCTAATCTGTGGGGTTGCAGACATGTGGTTTATATATACAGTTATGAACATTTTTTTTAATATGACCTTAAAATTCTTATAACAATAGCACTTTAAATTTATGGAGTGGATGTGGCCTTGGAAAGTTGCTAGTACCATAAGATGTGCTGCCTCATGAAGGGATTTATCTGAGCACAATAAAAGATTTTGGTTCTTTAGGGGCCTTTTCTCTAAGTGTCCTCCCTCCAAAACAAACAAACAAACAAACAAACATCCAGTCCCCTTCTCTCTTTCTTTGATCCTGAGAATTTTGGTAGGCCATTTTCACCCAGACCTACAAAATAACCTTTGGATGTGGAGTGTGACGCTTCCATCTCCGTCCACAAGATGGAACTGGGAGAGAGAAGATCTGTGGGATTCTCTCTGCTCAGTCAGAGGAGGAGAAGGAGGGAATTGTGAGCGGCTCTTTAGAGCCTGGGATTGTGTCAAGACATTTCAGTGGCTTCTTTGAGACTGATCATGGCTGGGGTTATCTGGTGTCTGGCTTTGGTTTGGCTGGGCCTGCATCTGACCATGGGGGCCATGGATTCATGCTATGATGCCCATGGACGGGCACAGCGCTGTATGCCCATCTTTGAGAATGCCGCATTTGGGAGGCGTGCGCAGGTGTCCAACACATGTGGCTCCCCACCAGAGGATTACTGTCTCCAGATGGGAACACGAGACTCCACCACACTCTGCCACCGCTGTGATGCCGGCAGCGATGTGCTCCACCACAACGCCACCTACCTGACAGACTTCCATAGCCAGGAAGAGCCCACGTGGTGGCAGAGCCAGTCCATGGCCTTTGAGGTTCAGCACCCCAACTCAGTCAATATCACCCTTCACCTGGGTAAGTTAGAGTGACCTTGTTTTTCTCCCTTCTCCCCTCTCCCCTGCAAACTGCAGAAATTATTTTTTAAGATGCAGCAGCCAAACGTTACATTGAAAGCACATTTTCACCTCCAAAAACTCCTGGGAACTGTTGTTTATCCTTCACAGAGCTAGAACTCCCAGCACCCTTAAACTACTGTTCCCAAATTTCTTGGGTGTGCGTGTGCTTTAAATGAATGATGTGTACACAGCCTTAATTCAGCATCACATGCAGGCACGCTGGCAGGATGAAATTCAGGGATGAGTGGGGTGATCTCTCCTACCTATATCTGAAAGGGTAAAACCCTCCTCAGCCACTTTCCCTTATTGTTTTTATCTGGGGGTCTCAGCATTTAACCTTTTATTTCTGTTAGGTTAGGGCAATGGAATTATTTAGAAAATCAACTTGCAATAAGCTTCTAAAGTTTCTATTTTAATTCAAATAAACTACCCCATATGTGCCCACTTGACAGCTGCAATCAGTGGAACTGGCACTTTTAGAATTGCCACATAATGTTCATTCCGTGGCTGAAAGGAATGGGATCTTTTAAGGCCTCATTTGCACTATACATTTCGTTGCGTTTCACACCACTTCAAACAGAATCCTGGAAAATGTAAATTGTTAACAGAGCTGAGTTTTGTTAGGAAGCCCCCTTTTCCCTCCCAGAGCTACAATTTCCAGAGTGGTTTAACAGCCAAGCCCTCTTCCCACGGAACTCTGGGAATTGTAGCTCTGGGAGGGGAATAGGGAGGTCTCCTAACAACACTCAGTACCCTTAAGAAACTACAGCTCCCGGGTTTATTTGGCTTTTTAAAGCACTATGATACTCCTTGAAACCTGTAGTGCAAATGAGGCTCTAGTTTATGGAACTCCCTGCCTATGGATGTCAGATAGGTATCCTTGAATGTTTTTAGCACCTGCTAAAGGTCTTTGGCGGTTCGAATCCCGTTGCTCGGTCCCTGCTCCTGCAAACCTAGCAGTTCAAAAGCACGTCAAAGTGCAAGTAGATAAATAGGTACCGCTCCGGCGGGAAGGTAAACGGCGTTTCCGTGCGCTGCTCTGGTTCGCCAGAAGCGGCTTAGTCATGCTGGCCACATGACCCGGAAGCTGTACACCGGTTCCCTCGGCCAGTAAAGCAAGATGAGCGCCGCAACCCCAGAGTCGGCCACGACTGGACCTAATGGTCAGGGGTCCCTTTACCTTTACCCAGCCATGTAGTTTTATAACAAACATTTGTTTTTAAATCTGCTGACTTTGCCTATATTTTGATCATTTCATTATGTCAACTTAATAAATATTTTATACCATCTTATGTAAACCGCATAGAAATAATGGGTGATAGTCAACTATTTTTTCCTCAGGGTAGACCTGTTAAAATGTTCATCTCTATAGGTTTGCTCTGAGTAAAACATCATTGAATACCATCCATTTGTTTGTTATCAACGGGTTTGTAAAACACATATCTATGCGTAGTACTGCGATTAACAAAATAGGTATTTTATATTTTGGCTTCCACCTTCATCAGATACTCTGCTAAAAAATGAAATTATATTGTTTCCAAAGTGGCAGTTATGGAGCTTTGAGGATGGAACATTCAGATTGGCTTTGTTTGATGAAGCAAAACGATGTTGGTACTATTCTCGATATTGAGGCCTGCTAACATGTCCTGCAGTGTGTACATGCAGATAGACAGCTATAGATATAGGAAGTGCTTTTATGGGTGGGGAAAAAAATGAGACACTGGTACTCATATGTTGATAAAAGTGCCATAGATGCCAATGCAAGATCGCTGCCATGAGCAAGAGGTTAGGGCCCTCTGTGGTGAATATCACCACCCAAAAAGCATTGGATATAAACATATACGTATCCAATTTTAGTTTTATTCAGAGCAGACCCAGAGGAATTAATGAACATGACTAACATAGGTCCGTTCATTTTGGCAGGTTTACTATAAGCAAAGCTGAATTAGATACAATCTCTTGCATTTAATATTTTGAATAGCACAGCTGGAAACACTGGTAGATTTTAGATACTGGCAAATATTCATATAGGCTCTATTTCTGTTTTGGAATGCATGTGTTCATGTTGCAAAATGTGAACATTGGAAGAGCTTGTGGTATGGTACCAGTGACCCATCTAGTGCACTATCCTGTTCTCACAGTAGCCAACCAGACGTCTCTGGGAAGCCTGCAGCCAGAACACTAATTTCACTTGCGATTCCCAGCACTTATGATTCAGAGACATATTGTATAAAGACTAAGGTCTTAGAAGTAAACTATAGATAATATTGTAGAGATTAAGTCCTAAACCATATTTTAACTGCTGCCACAACTGTTTTGTTTATTGTTATATTGATTGTTAACTTAAACTTACTTTTATTGTGTTTCTGATTTGTTTAGTACAGTATGTGAGTCCGGTCTGGGACCGTAATAAATTCAATTCAAATTCAGAGGCATATTGCTTCCACCTGTGACAGTGGACAATAGTCAGCCTGAAAAATTAGCAAGTAATTGAAGTGCTCCTTAAAATAATTGTTGTTGTTGTTGTTGCAACTGAAGTGCTCCGTAAAAGAATAACTGTTGCTGCTGTTGTTGTTAATTTATATACCAGCTTATTCCCTGACAGGGATTCAAGGTGGCCTACAAATAAAAAAGAGCTAAAAAAATGTGTGTGGTCCAAAAGAATTCTAGTGAAAAAGCTTGAAAAATAGCAATAATCAATCAAATATAAGCCCACTGTTATATACTGAGCTAATGGCTTATCTCCGACAAAATAATAATTCCTCTCTGCTAAGATGAACCTGTGCTGCCCTCCCTCCACACATTACTAGACTCCAGCTCCCATCAGCCCCAGACAGCATGGCCAACAGTCAGGGATGACGGACACTAAAGTCCAGTAACATCTGGAGGTCCACAGGTTCCCTGTTACTGTGCTAAGGTCTTACCACCTTTCCCAATATTAACTGAGTTGTATATATTGCTATTTCTGGGATACTAGAATTTGTTAGTGAATGTTAGCAATAAATGAATATTGGGCATATTGAAGGGAAGATAACCGCTGCAGCAATTCCCCTGAAAAGTGCCACACATGGAAATTCCTGGGTTTAGCCTAAGCAAACTAGTCTGGCTGGGTTGGTTGAATGTAAACCATTATGAAACCAGGGCCAGGCATCCACACATCAAAGAAGGTGTCTGGGTCTGCACAAAACAGGGGTTGCAAAGGTAATGGGGAGGGGCCTGAATAGCAGTTGGCATCCATCTGTCTCGAGAGACAATGGAGTGTACCTCCAGGGATGAAGTCAAATGGCTGTGTTAGCAGCACTGAAGTGACCTCCCTGGGGTGCAAGCCTGGGCAGTGTGTATTGAGGTCCTGAACTGCCTAGATGAGAAGACCACCCTCTTAAAGGTAAAGGGACCCCTGACCATTAGGTCCAGTCGTGGCTGACTCTGGGGTTGCGGCACTCATCTCACTTTATTGGCCGAGGGAGCCAGCGTACAGCTTCCGGGTCATGTGGCCAGCATGACTAAGCCGCTTCTGGCGAACCAGAGCCGTTTACCTTCCCGCCGGAGCGGTACCTATTTATCTACTTGCACTTTGATGTGCTTCCGAACTGCTACGTTGGCAGGAGCAGGGACCGAGCAACGGGAGCTCACCCCGTCGCAGGGATTCGAACTGCCAACCTTCTGATCGGCAAGCCCTAGGCTCTGTGGTTTAACCCACAGCGCCACCCGCGTCCCTAACCACCCTCTTAGCCTTGCCCTAATGCCATACAAGAATATAGAAGAAGGGTGGGGGGAGCTGACAGGAGGTGTTGCAATTGGCTATGTATTCTGGGAAGGTGAAGAAGAAAAAAGAGAGAACACCATCCAGGAGCAGGAGGGCATCAGCTATTAGGACTGGCTGGGGAGCAAGAACAAAGGTGTGGTGCTTAGGATGGCTCTGTCTGCAGTGCTGGGCTGCTATGAGAGCCAGTGTGGTGTAGTGGTTAAGAGCGGTAGTCTCGTAATCTGGGGAACCGGGTTTGCGTCTCCGCTCCTCCACATGCAGCTGCTGGGTGACCTTGGGCCAGTCATACTTCTTTGAAGTCTCTCAGCCCCACTCACCTCACAGAGTGTTTGTTGTGGGGGAGGAAGGGAAAGGAGAATGTTAGCCGCTTTGAGACTCCTTAAAAGGGAGTGAAAGGCGGGAGATCAAATCCAAACTCTTCCTCTTCTTCTTCTTCTTCTTCTTCTTCTTCTTCTTCTTCTATGAAGGACAAATGTCTCTTGAGATGACAATGCTGTAAGATCTACACCCCCTTAATCTAAACTCAGGTGTAAAGATAAAAGTAAAAGGACCCCTGACCATTAGGTCCAGTCATGGCCAGCTCTGGGGTTGCGGCACACATCTCGCTTTACTGGCCAAGGGAGCCGGTATACAGCTTCTGGGTCATGTGGCCAGCATGACTAAGCTGCTTCTGGCGAACCAGAACAGCGCACGGAAACTGTTCCGGGCTGCTGAGACTGCCGCTGCTGCGTTTCCCGGGGACATTTGATGAAATCCGGGGACATTCTAGGGATGGAATTTTCCGGGGACTTATTCACAAATCTGGGGACTGTCCCCGGGAAACAGGGACATCTGGTAACGCTAATTATAACTCCCACATAAGTGGGGGGATGACTGTATAGTTACTATATATTTGGTAACTATAGCAATAGCAACACACATACCATCTTGGTGCCTCGCTAGCTTTGAGCAATTTCATTATATCCTTATATCCTGTTGCCCTCCCAAATCTTGGCTCCATTGCAATTATGGAATGATCTCTGATGACTGCTAAACAAATAAGCAGTAACTGCTCTAGCCTGAATCTCTGAGGACAAATTTTTATGTGTGTGTCTATTTAGCATGGTCTAGATGGCAAAACTGGAGGGGGTGGGTGGAGGGTTGGAGGTTCAAGCGACGGCCATCGAGTCCCAAGAGAAGAGAGGCCCTTCAGGCCAAGAGAGTTTGGAACAGTCTGCTTCTGAAAGAGGTCACTCCTTTCCCAACCCCCTGTGAACGCGCCCACATCTGTTACAAATTGACAGGATGTTTGGACTGGCCATTCTACTTAGGATGAAAGTAGCTGGCCTAGCTCCAGTCTCTGACACCTCTGTTAAACCAGACTTTCCCCCGCTTGACCCAGTACTGTGTTTCAAGGAAAAGACAATATGTGTTTTAGAGACAGCTTCTCTAAAAGCCCTTGGACATGACATGATATGGGAGGACGGGGACAGGAATGTGACTATAGTCATACCTCGGGTTGAATACGCTTCGAGTTGAGCGTGTTTGAGTTGCGCTCCGCGGCAACCCGGAAGTAATGGAGCGCATTACTTCCGGGTTTCGCCACTTGCGCACGCGCAGACGCTCAAAATGACGTCACACGCATGCGCAGAAGCGGCAAAAAGCAACATGCGCGTGTGCAGATGTGCCGTCGCTAGTTATGTTTGCTTCTAGATGTGAACGGGGCTCCGGAATGGATCCGTTCATATTTAGAGGTACCACTGTACTAGGAACAAGATGGTGTCCACTGAAGCAGAACTTGGTTGTCATTTGTTTCTGTTACTCCTCCCTCACAGAAAATCTGTTCCCAGAGGCCACATTTACACCATACATTTAAAGCACTATGATACCGCTTTAAACAGAAACAGCTTCCCCAAAAAGATTACGTGAACTATAGTTTGTTAAAAGTGCTGAGAATCTTAAGGTGACCCCTGTTCCCCTCACAGAGTTAGAATTTCCCTGTGAAAAGGGATTGACTGTTAAACCACTCAGGGAATTGTAGCAGCAAATTGTTTGGGCTTGCCCTGGAGGAACCTGTGGCCCTCAGAGTGTTGCTTGCTTCCAACTCCCATGAGCTCCCACCAACATGGTCAATGGTGAGGGATGATAGGAGTTATAGCCTGGCAACATCTTAGTGTAGGAATGTAGGCAATCTATGATAGATTGCAATTCCCGCAGGCTCTGTTGGAGGTGGGAGAAGTACACATTGTCCTAGCTGAAGAACAACACATTTTCCGGCAACCGGAGCAAATTGCAGTTGAGTCTAACAGTGGCAAAGTAAATACCATTGCTATTTTTAAACAGGATGTTGAAAACTCACCCAAACACACTACCACCTCCACAGAGGAAAGCTGGCACCTCTATCCCCTGCTCATAGGCTTCTCAGAGTCATCTGTGTGACACTGAACTGATACGAGGATGCTGAATTCGATGGCGGGATCCAGACCAGCAAAAAATCCTTACGTTCTTCTGAAGGAATCATTAATATATTGTCATTAATAAACAGTAGTATTTAGATAATATTTGGAGTATTGAAGGGGAGATTCCAGGCCAATGGAAAAATACAGGCTAAGCTCTTTTTCCAGGTCAGGGCCTCACCCGGGATAGAGGCAGTTGACAAGAAGTGTTGATGGCCCATCCCTGAGAACACCTTGGGTCTGTGGTTACTGGGGCAGAGAAAGGTTTGGGATTGAAAATAAGAGAGGAGGCAGACTGTGCTGTGAGATCTGCACCTCCTTCATCTAAACTCAGCTGTAAATATGTGTATTTATGTGGGGGTTACATTCTGAACCTCCGTATGCATACGTGAAATCGCATAAAATGGGGAGCACCTGGAGAGTCCTCCGGCTCCCGAGAAGACCATCCCAGAGCCCGCAGAGGACAAGCCAGTGGCTTGCAGTTGCTACTGCTCTACCCCCCACATCAGCTGTTAGGTAGGAAGTCTCAGCAAAGCCCTGCTGTGGCACTGGCTCCTGAAGAGACCCTCCCCAGCACCCTAAGAGGCCCTCTTTGGGCTCTGGAGAAAGTCTCTTCATGAGCCAAGAGGACCTTTCAGGGTGCAATTACAGGATTCACTTCCAGAATTCTGGCACCGCATATGTGCACAGTCACATGCAAACAGTGCATGTGTAGATGGGAACTTGCCTGTAATTAAGCCATATTTCTTAAAGACACTACAGCCTCCACCACATCTTGATTCTCAACAGAAACACAACCCTAGATGAGAGCCTGAAGCCCACTGTAATTGTGTGTACCTCTCAGCAGAGATTGGGGTCTTCCCTTCAATGTTCCAAATATTATCTAAATACTACCGTTAATTAATTTCCACCATTCACTAACATACTGTGGTCCTCTAGATCTATTTCAAAATTCAGCTGCTAACCATGAGAGCTAAGGATCAAACTTTGGAAGCAGAATGCGTCTAAATACTAGATGCTGAGGGGTGGGGACACAATATTTGTTTTAAATATTAACAGCAGCCTTGTTGCTCAGAAATCCCAACAAACTCCTTCCAATCAGTTCTGTTTTGAAATCTGTGGTTAAAATCAGTGCAGTTTTGAGGACCACCTGCTTCTTTTTCTGCATGAGTCACTGTTCTTGTTGGGCTCAGAAAATTGACTCATGCAGAGACATAATTCCACTGCATGAGTGGATCAGGAATCCATCAAGCGGGTCTGATTGTGCATCTTGAAGGAGGAGGACACTAGTCCCAAGCATGGGCCAACTGAAAGAACAGTGAAAAACCATGTAGTAGGGCAGTGGAATCACCTCCTCAGTGACTTAATGCTTAGCACCAGCGTTTTTCTTCTAGAAAAAGAGGTACTGGTACTGCATACCCTTCAGTATCTCCAGAAAAAAACTCACTCCTTAGCGCTCACAAGAGCCTTCAATTGCTCATTGTTTTTGATGCAGAAACGCCTACAACAGACATCTCCCCCTCATCTGTTCCAGGGTTACTTGCCAATCCCCTACCCTGCCCAAGTGAGGGGCACAGAAAGTCTGTTGGTGGATTCAAAATCTCATCTTTTACTTGCTAATCAATGACAGATGCTGATGTCTACCCTTGCAGTAGCCGTTGGATAACTCAACACATGCCTGCAAGGTTCTTGCATTGTCCCAGCTCCTTCACAGACATTTTTCATATGGGTGCAATTAAGTGTTTGTTTTCCCCACCCCTTAGTCCCAGAATAATTGCCATTTCTCAACATTTTGGATTCATTAGGGTCTCAAAAGAGGCTAGCTGATTGTGCCGTCTTTTTTCATCGCAAATAATTTTGCAGCGGGGAAGTGGCTCTTCACTGGTTGCATTCTTTCCCTTGTGGCTGACAAAAGATTTGGTGGTTGTTGTCTTTTTTTAAAAAAATAAAAAAATAAAAAATATGATTGCTGGATGAAGGAACTGAGAAAGCCTGTTTCTGCTCACCACAAGGGGAAACAGACACTGTGTCACCTTCTTTCCAACCCAAAAAATGGCTAGCAGTGCACATGTTGATCTAATTCTTGAGGACTATTTGCGGCAGGCTGGCGTCACTGTGCAGCACCCTCAGGCTCTGACGCAGTCCCTTGAAAGGTCACTGAAACTTAGAGGGGGAAATGTCTGTCCCTGAAAGGAAAAGTGAAGTGGATAGGTAGCAGGGCAACTTAGAGGTCCCCGCGAACCAACAGTGGTGAATGAAAGGAATTAGTGGTTGAGCTGCGACCTGGCGTCGGTAGCTTTGGCCTTTCACCCGCCGCTATATGTTGTTGTTGTTGTTTAGTCGTTTAGTCATGTCCGACTCCTCGTGACCCCATGGACCAGAGCAAGCCAGGCACTCCAGGCACTCCATACTTCCCACCAAATATTTTCCACTGAAAGAATAAGGCCCCACTCTGCACTATACATTTAAAGCACTATAGTATCACTTTAAACCATGGGTAGGCGAACTAAGGCCTGGGGGCCGGATCCTGGCCCAATCGCCTTCTAAATCCGGCCCACAGACGGTCTGGGAATCAGCGTGTTTTTACATGAGTAGAATGTATCCTTTTATTTAAAATGCATCTCTGGGCTATTTGTGGGGCCTGCCTGGTGTTTTTACATGAGTAGAATGTTTGCTTTTACAGTGGTACCTTGGGTTACATACAGTTCAGGTTACATATGCTTCAGGTTACAGACTCTGCTAACCCAGAAATAGTACCTCGGGTTAAGAACTTTGCTTCAGGATGAGAACAGAAATCGTGCTCCGGGGGCGTGGCGGCAGCAGGAGGCCCCATTAGCTTAAGTGGTGCTTCAAGTTAAGAACAGTTTCAGGTTAAGAACAGACCTCTGGAACGAATTAAGTACATAACCCGAGGTACCACTGTATTTAAAATGCATCTCTGGGTTATTTGTGGGGCATAGGAATTCGTTCATACTTTCCCCAAAAAATATAGTCCGCTCCCCCCCCCCCCCAAGGTCTGAGGGACAGTGGGCCGACCCCCTGCTGAAAAAGTTTGCTGACCCTTGCTTTAAACTATGGGTTGGCAAACTAAGGCCCGGGCCAAATCCAGCCCAATCGCCTTCTAAATCCGGCCCATGGACGGTCCTGGAATCAGCATGTTTTTACATGAGTAGAATGTGCGCTTTTATTTAAAATGCATCTCTGGGTTTTTTGTGGGGCATGGGAATTGGTTCATTCCCCCCCCCCCCAAAAAAAAATATAGTGTGGCCCCCCACAAGGTCTGAGGGACAGCAGACTGGCCCACCGCTGAAAACGTTTGCTGACCCCTGCTTTAAACAGCCATGGCTTCCTCCCACCCACCAAATATTCCTGGGAACTGTAGCTTGTTCTGTGTGGTGAGAGTTGTTAGAAGAACGCTACTCCTCTCAAAGCTACAATTCCTAGAGTTCCCTGTGAAGATGGATTGGGTTTTGATACCCAGAACATAAAGTCAATTCACATGAGGTGACAGTAAGACCTCTGAAGCCCAGCCAGCAGTACCCCACATTAACAGGAACAAGCATTCTACAACATACCAAAGAATCCTCTGGGAAGTTCTGAGTTTCCTGAGCAGATGAACTGATGCGGGCAAGGGTGTAACTATTTTTTGTTTTTGTTGTTTTAAACCCACTGATTGCTATAACTGCATTATGGCCCTTACTGGTTTAATCCGTTCCAGCTGCTTTTTCCATCTTTTGCTGGCACGGAACAGCCCTGATGCCACTGCGCCACGATGCTTTCTGTGGATGAAAGACCTTTGCTTGTTGATTTAGGGCAGAAGAAGGAGAAGAAGAAATAAACATTCACATTTAGATCCAAGAGATAGCGGGGAAAGTGGAACTCTCTGTGTTTTATTCCGAGAACACTAGATGGTCCTGCCGAGACATAGGGATGCAGGAGAAAATTGATTCAGTTCACAGTTAAAGGCAAACTGGCCATAATTTGTACTAACCGTAACTTAGCCATCCTTCAAAATGCTCAAAATCTTGCATTGCAGTTCTCAAACCAAGTTATGGACACAAAAAACCGTAAGTGAGGGTCATGTGTGCAGGAAAATGCATAGATTAGTAAAAATATATTTTTAAAATGCATTATTTTAAGGGAAATTTATTGCAAAAGTGTGTACATTAGGCAAAATTGTATACAGACAAGTGTATTAGGAAATTTTCTCACTAAGATGCTGGTGAATTTTCATGGGGACTTGTTAAAAAAAAGATATTCACAAAATGATGTGGAAATGTGGAGAAATGAGTTTAAGACTAGAAAAACAAGAAACTGAAATTGACAGATTCTCCTATCCCCAGCTGATAGGTTTTCCAGGAAAGGAATGAGCAGAATGTTTATAAGCAAGGTAATGTTTTTTTTTAGAAGAGACAATAGGGCACATCAACAAAAAGGTTGTAGCATGGAGTGTTCCCTGTTCAGGGACAGGGTGATGACTGGCCAAATAACAAATCTCCCCTAGGGATGAGGAGAAATTATCACTTTAACAAAAAGAGCCCATCCGAAGATAACAGTGATTAAAGTGGAGCACTTAAGAATACTTGACCATTCTTTATTTTCTCCCCTTTTAGGAAAATCTTATGAAATCACCTACGTGAGGTTGAAATTTCACACCAGCCGCCCAGAGAGCTTTGCCATCTATAAGCGGAGCCATTCTAACAGCCCCTGGATCCCTTACCAGTATTACAGCGCCTCGTGTGAGAAGACATATAGGAAGCCAGAAGGACAGTTCTTGCGACCTGGCCAAGATGAGCGGGTGGCACTCTGTACAGACGAGTTCAGCGACATTTCCCCACTGAGTGGGGGAAATGTGGCCTTCTCCACCCTTGAAGGCCGGCCTAGTGCCTACAGCTTTGACCAGAGTCCCATTCTCCAGGTACAAATCTCTGGGTGGGTGGTCCCTTAACACAAGAACAACGGCCTGGTAGTATAATCAGGAAACACTGAAGAACAAACTACAGTGGTACCTCGGGTTACAGACGCTTCAGGTTACAGTCGCTTCAGGTTACAGACTCCGCTAACCCAGAAATAGTACCTCGGGTTAAGAACTTTGCTTCAGGATGAGAACAGAAATTGGGCGGCAGCGGTGCGGTGGCAGTGGGAGGCCCCATTAGTTAAAGTGGTACTGAAGGAGGAGAGGACAGGTTAAGATACCCTAAAACCTGTGTAGTCACGCCCCCCCCCCCAACCAGGCAGGCCTCAAGCCTCAAGACTTTTCAAAATTACTTTCTCACTCCCACTTCCCTCCCCCAGGCACAATGCTCTTCCCACCCGTCGAAAAGGCCTGAAAAGGCTACAGTACCTCAAGTTAAGAACAGTTTCAGGTTAAGAACAGACCTCCAGAACGAATTAAGTTCTTAACCCGAGGTACCACTGTAGAATAAATCCACCAGAAAGGCACTATGATTTTGTGAAGAACATGTTGCAGAATTTGCCTGCAATAAAAGACCAGCCTGGAGGGGCCTGGCATCTGGAAGGCCACAGGTTCCCCAATCTTGGAACTGTGTTTCAGTTTAACCTCACCCACCCATGCAGGCAGGGTGAGGCATAACAAGAAGGTGCCGGCCTACCAGTGCAGCTCCTCACAAACCTCCCTTACCTTGGTCAGGCAGCAGTGTCTGTAGTGTGGATGGTGGTTTCCAGCAAGATTTTGCGGTATACAGGAGTTATTGCGAGATTTTGGTGAGATCTTGAGAGACCTTGCCAGAACCTGCTACTGCCACTTTAGGCTCTCTTTAGGTTCTGCTGCCTGAAGTGGCTGCCTCAGTCAGCCCCATAGGTGGACCGGCCCTGCACCTAGGAAGTCCGTTGGTTTCAGTTGGCCACAGCAGTTGTTTTCAGTCAGTGTGCCATGGCAACCTGGGTGCCTTGAACAATGCTCAGTTGCCGTGAGCAACACTGGCTTCTGTTCCTCCCCCCCCCCCATGCCCTCTCACATCTCTGTCTCCCAAAGACTTTCACAGCTGTTTGTTTCATCCCCAGCCACATGCTCCCCTGGCAAATGGTACCTCTGGGGCTGGCCAGGGGGTACTGGTTGCCAGGAGCTAAGGTGACCTTGGAGTAAGCAAGCAAGCAAGCGTTTGCTGTGTGCAAGGCCTGCCTGGGAGCTGAGTGCCTGGTGCTGAAGGGGAGCCTTTCTGCCATACAGGCCTGGCAGTGCCTGCTGCTGCCATTGCTGTCTCCCAAGGTACTGGCCTCACATTCACCTTTGGCCAGTCTCTGTTGGGCCACTAAGGCTGGGGGCATCCTTGTCCCAGGCCCCTGTGGGGCAACGTGAGGAGGCACCTCTTTTGGGTACAGGAGGGGTAGCAGCTGTCCAGGGGACTCCCAAGAAGAGGGGAGAGGAGAGGAGGCTGAGGGAACACTCCAAAGGGAAAGTGTTTGAAAAGGGGTGAGTGGTTGCTGGCTCTGCAGGTAAGGGGTGACATAACTGGGCTCATAAGCCCCACAGGGGTGTCACAGAAAGAATGTAATTGGTCACGGGTGCTGTGGACTCAAAAAGGTTGTTAACCTCTGGGGTACAGTCCATTGGGACTGGTAGGGGGGAAGGCAGGGAGACCAACAGTAGGTGGAGCCGGAGAGCCAGTGGCAAGCAAAGCCAGCCCATTATAGTTTTGTCCCTGTCCTCCTCCCTGGTGAGTGCTGAGACTAAGCAGAATGGAACTGAAATAAAAAAAAAATTAAAAAAATGTCCAGTAGTTGGTCTCTCAGGTGCAACTGGACAATTTTTTAATTTTTATTTTTTTATTTCGACTGTGTCAGACCAACATGGCTGCCTCCCTGAATCCAGAATGGAACTGACAGCCACTGACACCTTCTAAATGGTTTGTTCAAGAAATATAGCCCACGAAGGAATGTGGCCTTTGAACTCTAAAAATCCTCTGCCCTTCTGCTCTTGATCAATCAGATGTCCTGTACCCCTACTATTTGCTTACTTTCTCACTTACTATAATTAATTTCTTCATCCAAGGATCACAGGGAAGTTTGCAATATAAAAACACAAAAATATATAAAATAGTAACAAAAACTGTTATGTACTAAGCTTGGATCCTAGAAAATAGACAAGTAGGATCCTGGAATGCAACAACTGATTGGCCTGCAGGAAAAGACCAATCAGACTCCAGGAGGGAAGCAGAATCAGCCAATCAGACAGGACTCATTGTGTAAATAATGTATATAAAAACCTGAGGTTTGGGGGGCAATTGAATCACTGTTTTACAAGCTGCAATAAAGAGCATGAAATCACTACAGGACTCAAGAGTATATTTCCAAAACAATACCCCCATCTGCTGTTCTTGTCTCCACCCTTCAAAGTCCCAGGCTCCTCCCCTTCTCTTAGACTCTGAGCCTTTGCAAACATTCGTTTTGGCCAGTGCTTTTCCCTCTAGGAGGTACTTAAGGGTACACAGTACCGGCATGTCTTCTTCTTGTTTTTGTTAAAAAGTGTGGCACTTACTGTAACAACTTCATGGTGAGTACCAACACCTATTTTTTATAGGAAAAAGCATACATTTCGGTCCCAGTGGATTGTCAATACTGATCCTGTGTAATTCTGTAGGAGTGGGTGACCGGGACGGATTTGAAGATTTCTTTGGACCGGCTAAATACCTTTGGGGATGACATCTTCAAGGATCCCAAGGTGCTGCAGTCTTACTACTATGCCATCTCAGACTTCTCCGTAGGGGGCAGGTAAGATGGGATGGGTGGGCGGAAAGAGGAAAAGGACAATCATAAAGGGTAGTTTTTTATTGGGAAGGGGTGATTGCTCTCACCTGGGAAAAAGGAAAGTGTTGCCAACCTTAAATCATGACTTCCTGCTGTCTTACGAATCCCCGCTTCTTAAGACTCAAGTGTAAAATCCTAACCCAAGGACCACTACCCTTTTTTGGGGCATGAGGGGTAACCACATCTGGAAATCAAAGAAATTCTCCTGGGTCCCAGCAAATGGCTATTTTACAATTTCCTGGAGATAACAGGAATTGAACCTGGGACCTTCTGCATGCAAATCATGCTTTACTGCAGCTCAGACAGTGTTTCAAATGAGGCCGGATAAGGATTGCTGATTAAAGAAGCAAAACATGTGTCCTTTGGGTGGAGGGAGGGATAAATAGGGGTGGGGAAATCATGGTCCCAAATGTTTCCCCATTCTACCACCCCCGTTCCTGGTTTTCTTTCTGCCCATTTCTGCTGCAGTGTTAAGAAAACACACTAGAGAAAAAGGAGGATGGGAGGGTGGTCTTATGAAAGCAAGGCAAGGACCACACTGGCTTTATCTGTCTTGAGTCTTTCTCCCAAGCAGCTGGGATTTGTTTTCTTCTGAACAGGCCACCCTCAGAGACTCCAAGCACAGCGAGTCCTGGGTTTAGGGGTCAGGGATAAGCCCTGGATAAAAGAGGTGAAGGGTGCTATGGATTTGATTTGTGTTCTATCTCTCAAACTTTGCTTAGCATATGTGTTCCCTTGAGGAGAAGAATGTATTTTCCTCATTTTCAACAAAGGCGCATTCAGGACAGACGAGGGGTCTGGAGCGCAGAGAATGTTGTTGGGTTTGTTTTTGTTTTAAATAGCCTACCCTGCTTTGGAGAAGTTCCTAACTGAAGAGGTGAATAATACTGAAAGGGTCAGTTGTCCATGTTTGGGTCTCTCCTAGGTGCAAGTGTAATGGCCATGCTAGTGAATGCATCCCAAATGAAGAGGATCAGTTGGTTTGCCTCTGCCAGCACAACACCACTGGGGTAGACTGCGAGTTGTGCCAGACGTTTTATCAGGACCGCCCGTGGGCACGGGGCACCGCTGAGGCTGCCAACGAGTGTCTCCGTAAGTGGCATGTTGGAGTCTGGCAACTGTGGTCATTTCCAGCATAAGGAATAGCCTCAGAGCAGAAGGACCACCTATAGTTCCGGGTTCCTTTCCCCCTCGGAAAATTTATTTCAGTGGGTCAACTCTTGAGTATGTTGGAGAGCACCCATTATTATTATTATTATTATTATTATTAATCTACAGTGCAATCAGGATACCGTAAGCAAAAATAAAACAGAGAAGTCTCTGCCCCCAAGGCAATAAAAGTTAAGACAACAAGTTTTGGCAAAACGATCTTGTGTTTGTTTGGGTTTTTTTGTGCCCAGCATGCAACTGTAGCGGCCAATCAGAAGAGTGCTTTTATGACTGGGAGTTATACCGACGCACTGGGCACGGTGGCCACTGCCGAAATTGCCAGGACAACACGGACGGCCCGCACTGTGAGCGCTGCCGCCAGAATTTCTACCGCTGGGATACCCAGGCGGCATGCCAGCCCTGCAGCTGCAACCCAGCAGGTAGGCAGATTGGGGAGGCAGTATGAAGGGTAGTGGGGCAGGAAGGGGGAAGTGACATAAAACTCCTAGCTATCTTCTTTGACTGGTAGCACATGAATATATATAGAGAGAGGGGGAGAGAGAGAGAGTTTTTAATACATGATTGTTCACAACAGAGACTCCACCCACATATTATTATGCCACTTTAAACAGCCATGGCTCTCCCCTCCCCCCCAAGCATCCTTTGTTCAGGGAGGTGAGAGTTGTTAGGAAACCCACCATTCCCCTCACAGAGCTAAAATTCTCAGAGTGGTTTAGCAATCAGCTGCTCTCCCCAGCTTCCTCCCTGGCATCTCCAGGTGGGGCTGGAAATGCCCTTGCCTGAAACCCTGGAAGAAGAAGAAGAAGAAGAAGAAGAAGAAGAAGAAGAAGAAGAAGAAGAAGAAGAGTAGTAGTAGTAGTAGTAGTAGTTTGGATTTGATATCCCGCTTTATCACTACCCTAAGGAGTCTCAAAGCGGCTAACATTCTCCTTTCCCTTCCTCCTCCACAACAAACACTCTGTGAGGTGAGTGAGGCTGAGAGACTTCACAGAAGTGTGACTGGCCCAAGGTCACCCAGCAGCTGCATGTGGAGAAGCAGGGAAGCGAACCCGGTTCACCAGATTACGAGTCAACTGCTCTTAACCACTACACCACAATGGAGAGCTACTGCCAGTCAATGTAGATAATCCTGAGCTATATGGAGCCAATGGTCTGACTCAGTATAAATCGGATTCCTCAGTTCCTTTGTTGACACTTCATATCTTCCCAGGTTCCTTGAATCCCCAGTGTGACAGCTCAGGGGCCTGTGAATGCAAAGCAACGGTGACAGGCTGGAAGTGTGAGCGTTGCCGAGATGGATTCCATTCCCTCAGTGAAGGCGGGTGCAGGTGAGAGGAGGAGGAATAGTATCCCCCTGGAACTGTGGCAGGGGCAGGACTAGCTCTACCGTTAGGCAAAGTGAGGTGGCCACTTCAGGTCGTAGAAGCTGGGATTCCTCCTGGGCCCCAAGCCATTGTAACTCTTCAGCATACTCCTCTCCACCTGTTCCCGTTCTTCTGAGCTGATGCTAGGAATGGTGAAGAAATTAAATTTTGTTTGCATTTCAGTGGGAAGGTGCACTTCTCAAATCAATACACAAAGCGAAACATGGCTACCTTCCAAAATTAACTTCTCAGAGTGTTTTGATTTGATTCTCCAACCAAAGTGCATGTATTAGGAAAATATGCACATAAAAATGCATTTACGGGGGCAAAATAACATACAAAGTGCACTACATTAGAAGAAATTGCTTGCAAAAATGCATATGTTAACCTACACTGCATATAAAAATGTGTTTATTAGGAGGAATTCACACAAGATGCTAACAAATTTCTTGACTGTTTTTACATATACTAGGGGCTGTGCCCTTGTTCACTCCTGTCACCAGCCCTCCTGCCATTCCACCCACATTGACCCCCTAGAACTGCGCCTTCCCTCTCCATGCAATTTTGAATCCTCTAATGGGGATTATGTAATGACAGTCTTACATTTTTATGTACCGTATTTTTCGTCCTATAGGACGCACCTAGTTTTTTGGGGGGGAAATAAAGGAAATTCCCCCCCTTTATTTCCCCCCCAAAACCAGGTCGGGGAAACCGAACCAGGTCGAGGAACAGCAGGATAGCGGCGCTGCGCCTCCTTGCTGTCCCCCGAGCTTGTGGGGCTGGCCGATGTCTGCCCGGCGTGCGGGGTGCTCTGCTTCAGGGCGCCCCTCACGCCGGGCGGCAGGCTGCTATCCGCAGCCTAGACAGCCCTGCGGGAACTCCCGCAGGGCTGCCGAGGCTGCGGATGTGTTCCCGAAGCGCTGAGCGCTCTGCTTTCAGCGCACCCGGCGCTCCGGGAAGCAGGCTGCTATCCGCAGCCTAGACAGCCCTGCAGGAACTCCCGCAGGGCTGCCTAGGCTGCGGATGTGTTCCTGAAGCCTGGAGAGCGAGAGGGGTCAGTGCGCACCGACCCCTCTCGCTCTCCAAGCTTCAGTGAAAGCCTGCATTCGCCCCATAGGACGCACCCAGATTTCCCCTTCATTTTTGGAGGGGGAAAAGTGTGTCCTATAGGGCGAAAAATACGGTATATAGGAAGATATAAAACCTATAATTGCTGCAGAATTGTGGATAACTGAATTTAAGATGGGGGGGGGAGGGAGAAACCAAAACTGACACATTTGTCCATCCCTAGCGGGCAGCAATGCTTTCTTGTTGCAGGGTTGGCTGCCTCGCCTAGTTCCCTTCTTTCAACACTTCTCAGACATTGTCTGGGAAAGTTCCCTTACTGAGAGAGCAGGCAAAGAGGCAGCCAGGCCAGGCCACACACCCCAGCAGCCACGATGCATGTGGATACCTTGCTCTGGTCACATCGCACATGCTGGAACTGGCGCTGCTGTACTGCAGCCTTCGTTTGAGTGACACAACTTACCGGTATGTGTCATTGGCCTCCTTTTTCAGACCTTGCGCTTGTGATGCAGCTGGCAGTGTAGGAGCATGTGACCCTAACACAGGACACTGCAGGTGCAAAGAGAAGGTAGAAGGGTACCTGTGCAACAGGTGAGTAATCTTGATCTCCCGCCTCTCTTCCTTTCCCTCTGTTGTTCCCAGCCCTGTGCAAACATAAGACTGTAACCTCCTCAGAGGAGGGATCTGTCTTTTTTATTGATGAGAATAAAAGCACCTCCAGATATTGCTGAACTACAGCTCCCATCAGCCCCAGCAATCATGGCCAATGGCTAGGGATGAGAGGAGTTTTAGTTCTGTAACATCTGGTGGGCCAAAATTTCTCTGCACCTGATTTTAAAAACAAACAAACAAACAAACAAACAAACAAGCAGGCACTGTGTCATGAGCCTGAATCTGGGGAGCAGCCAAGACTCTCAAAGAACACAAGAAGAGTCTGTCTGGATCAGATCTGCCCCATCTGGCTAGTATCCTGTTCTCACGGTGGCTAACCAGATATCCCAATGGGAAGCCCACAAGTACAACCTGAGCGTCCTCCCCACCTGTGATTCCCAGCAACTGAGGTTCAAAGGCATACTGCCTCCAACAGTGGAGGGAGAATTTAGCCACTGTGGGTGGTAGCCTTATCTTCCATGGATAAAGATACACTGTCAATAAAAATTGGTCTGCTTCATGAAACTGACTGACATATGCTCTTTCTTGTCCAGGTGCCAACCTGGTAGCTTCAATCTACAGCTCCACAACCCTACTGGCTGCACCAGCTGCTTCTGCTATGGCCATTCAACAGCGTGCACAGTGGCCCAGGGGTATGAGGTTCACAATATCATCTCTGACTTCAGCCAAGGTAGTTGGGGAACTTTTCTATATGGGTATATCTGCACACTACAACGTTATGTTGGGCTTATGGCACTTTTAACAGCTGCAGTTTCCTTGATATCATTCTGGGAGTTGTAGTTTAGTGAAAGTGGTAGGATTTCTGTTGAAGTTCCCTAGGCTCCATTCAACCCAACTATATCCCAGGGCTCCCAGGAGAGACAGAAAAACAGTTAAAGCAGTAGAAGTCCATAGTGTAAAGTGCACAAGGGCATCACATGTTTATGCAAAATAGCAACAAATAAATAAATACCTGTAGAAGAAAACTAAAGGATTAAAATCTGTACAGGCAGTTTGTGTAGGGGTTGCATTCAAAGTTAATACACATGGCAGTGGTCATGCTTAAGCCCCTTCTGAGCCCGCGCAGTTCTCGGGCCAAAAGTTTTGTATGCATTAGCACTTGCACATCACTACTAGTTTTTACAAGTTTTTACTGAGACAGGTGTGAATGAGGGTAACACAGATTGGCAGTTTTGAAAAGGCAGCCTTCCTGTCTGTGGGTGGAGTCAGTGCAAGACATAAGACTCTCTAGAGCAGGGATGTAGGGTTGCCATATTTCAAATATGGCAATATTTGCCAAAGTTGTTGAGCTTCTTTTAGTTTTGCCCAAAGTTGTTGAGCTCAAAATCTCAAAAAAAGAAGAAATTTTTGAGCTGTTTTTAAGGAAATCCACAAAAAACCCGAGACTTCCAATATTGGTTACCATACATCCAGATCTTCCCAGACATTTCAGTGGTTTCCGCCCAGACACTGCTTCCGACTGCAGTATTCTGGCTATGTCTGGGAAATTCTGGACGTAGGGCAACCCTAAGGTAAGGTTGCCAGACGTCCCCGTTTCCCAGGGACAGTACCCGGATTTACAAATCAGTCCCCTGACAAAATCCATCTATCTAATAGGAAGTTGAAAAGTGTCCCCGGATTCATTGAAAAAAATCTGGTAACCTTACCTAAGGGGTAGCCAAAGTGATGCCTTGCAGGTGTTGTTGGACTATAGTTCCCATCATCCCTGGCTATTAGGCATGCTAGTTGGGGATGATAGGAGCTGGAATCCCACAAAAGCCGTAGGACAAATTGGCTACCCCTGCTCTAGAGCAGGAAGAAGCAACCATTTTGCAATTGCTGCATTTTAGCAATTGAAAATCACATACCCCTGTCAGTCTTGCTATGAATCGCTCAGATATCTGCCACTGCATCCCAGTTCACTTACTAATCTCTAAAGCAGCTGCCCCACTGAGCATGCTGCTCAGCATGAGGAGCCAACCCTGAAGCAACTGTTCTATAAATCCAGCTAGGCCCCTATTGGCTCCCCAGATTGCCTAAGTGTGGCTGGACTGTTGAGCTGCAGTACCCAAATCTGGCCATTATTTGGGTGGCACTGTAGAGCATCAGAGACCAGACAAATAGCTCACTGTACAGTGGTACCTTGGTTTACAAACATAATCCATTCCCAAGGTCCGGTTGTAAACCAAAACAGGTTGTAACCCAAGGTGTGCTTTCGCCAATGGGTTGTAATAATTGGTTGTAATAATAATAAATGGGTTGTAATCCCAAAAAAGGGACATGCACTTCCAGGTTTGATGTGGTTGTAATCCAAAACAGTTGTAATCCAAAGCGGTTGTAAACCAAGGTAGCACTGTATGTGAAAGCCTCCCGAATGGCACAGCATCAATGGCTCAGCAACTTCAAGAAAAGGAAAAAGCAGCTGTGTAAACCCAGCACTCATAATTTATTTAATTCTGAGCTGTATCTGGCTGAGTTACAGCTTTCTGTTTGGCCAGTGGAGAGACATGTGGGCGAGTACACAGCTGGTGACCCAAAGTAAACCCAATGGAGCATATGAGGCCTTCTGTCTCCTGTTCTCCCTTTGCACAGCAGGGGTTTATTCTGCACTGGCTGAAGGCCTCTGTGTGAACCTAGCTTGGACTCTGTGTGAACCTATCAAGTAGCTCGCTCAGTCGCCATCCAGCATCCAAGATGGCGCTGAAGCAAGTTCATAGACCTCTCTCTTGCGTGTGAAAGATCACCCTCTGGTGAGCAGCCCAAGGAACGCCCATTATAGAACCTGTCAAAACCCACAGGGCCCAGTGGTCAAGGGGCTCCTGCTCCGATGGAAAACCTGTGTGAATTATTCTGTGCGTAGCTGTTAACGTAATAATCTGAACATGCTATTACTGTCTGCCGGGCCAGGCTACCCATGAGGTGAGGTGGTGCAGTTGCCTCTGGTAGCAGATCCAGCCTCCAGGGAGCACACCGCAAACCACTGCCTGCTGCCACTCATTCCTTTCTGGTCTCATTTTACTTCCCCACTGCCTTCGGGTGGGGGGAGCTATGAAGGCGGAGTCAGGAGCATTTTCTGTTGTGCCTCAAGTGGCAGAATGTCCTGGGCCAGCCCTGACAGTCTTTGTGTGTATGTGTTTTATTTAATTGTGGATGTTTATTTCTTTACTATTTGGTGGATTTTTTATTGATAGAGTTGCCAAATGTCCTCCTTTTCCAGGAAACGTTCTCTTTTTCATGGGCAGAGTCGTCATAGCGATCCATAGTTAAAAATAGAAGTTGACAAATGTGTCCTCTTCAAAATATGGCAACCTTTATTCTTGTAATCTGCTTAGAATCCATATTAGTACTTCTTCTTCTTCTTCTACTACTACTACTAATACTAATACTAATACTATTATTACAATTTATTACTCACTCTTCACCCTAAGGTCCCAGGGCAGGTTACAACAATTACAACAATATTAAAAACAGTTAAAACAAGTTACAGTCACAGAAATAAGGTGGATCCTACAGATATATATCTCAAGTGTCAAAATCTGGGGTAAAGAGGTGTGTCTTATCATTTGTCACAAGTTGCATAAGCTGCCAGATGCATCTCTATGGGAAGAGAGTTCCACAGCTATGGGGCTGCCACAGACAAATTGACAATTAAGTGGTGTATAAAAAAGGTAAAGGTACCCCTGCCCGTACGGGCCAGTCGTGTCCGACTCTAGGGTTGTGCGCCCATCTCACTTAAGAGGCCGGGGGCCAGCGCTGTCCGGAGACACTTCCGGGTCACGTGGCCAGCGTGGCGAAGCTGCTCTGGCGAGCCAGCACCAGCGCAGCACACGGAAATGCCGTTTACCTTCCCGCTATAAAGCGGTACCTATTTATCTACTTGCACTTAGGCGTGCTTTCGAACTGCTAGGTGGGCAGGAGCTGGGACCAAAAGACGGGAGCTCACCCCGCCGCAGGGATTCGAACCGCCGACCATGCGATTGGCAAGTCCTAGGCACTGAGGTTTTACCCACAGCGCCACCCGCGTCCCTTAAGTGGTGTATACATCAATCAAATAATTAACTGATTAACAATATGTTTTTAAAAACACGCAAATAGGGATGGCATGAAATACCCATTGTATTGGCATCTGTTCCAATTATTTTTAAAATGGAAGGTGAAGCAACACATTTCGTTGTAATGCCTTTCCTTGGTTCATATAGCTTGCCTTTATACCATAACATTTCTTAGTGTCTGGAATCCAGATGCTTTCTCCCCATGGCTGTCGTGATGCAAAGTAACAATTGGTTTGGGGTTTTTTTTCATTCTTCCAGAGCTCCAGTTCCTGTTTCAACATGAATAGCTCATGAGACTCTCAGTCGCAGGGTTGTGGGTTCGAGCCCCACGTTGGGTGAAAGATGCATTGCAGGAGGTTGGACTAGATGACCCTTGTGGTCCCTTCCAACTCTACAATTCTATGATTCTATGTAGTTATAGGGTGAAATTTCATCAGGCCTCCATGAGCAAGAATGGCGAAAGAAGGGAAGGATATTAATTGAGTGCCTGCTTTACACACAAAAGGTCCCAGGTTCCGCTCCCAGTGGCATCTCCAGGTAGGGCTGTGAATGAAATCCTGGAGAGCCGCTTCCCGTCAGTGCAGACAATACTGAGCTAGATAGAGTAAAGGGTCTCGCTCTGTATAAGGCAGCTTCCTATGTTCCTGTTGGAAGGGCTGTAGCTCATCTGTCTTGCATGTAGACGATCCTAGGTTCAACCTTGTAGGCAAAAGCGAGCTAAATTGCAAGGTCAGCCAGACTTGCTTTGTCACTCTTTCTCTCTTTTGCTTGTGTTTTGTTGTTTTTTACCAGGACTCGATGGCTGGAAAGCAGTAAATCCAAGTGGGCAGGAGGTCCCCCTCCGCTGGACTAGAGGAGAGATCTTCCTGGAGCAAGAGGAGGAAGAGGCTGATTTTATAGCGCCAGGTATAGTATCTGCAAAGCAGGAAGTGATGAAAATTCCTTCTCCCAAGGCTGCTAGCTCCTTCCATTGCAGTTTATCATAATGACCCTAGGTCCAAATGGCCCACTGGAAGGAATTTGCTCTTGGGGCCAGTCCCAAAAGCACATAGCAAGCTGGTCACTCGATGCTCACTGTTCTGCAAGAGTAGCTTGTGGTGCCAGTATCCTTCCAGCTTGAGGTCATCACTTTGACTATGTCAGGGACCAGGAGTCAGATTCCGCATCAATGGGTGATGGAGGCAAAGGTGCGGAACCCAAAGTGTTCAATCCACGCTTTAATGGAAGCCTATCTAATTTACACTTCACAGAACAATACCATCAAGGCTATCCTTTGAAATTCACACTTTGCCAAATTTTCTGATGCAGGTTCTGCAGCCAAAAGACATGTGTGTTACAGGGGAAAGTGTACCTAAGAATGCATATTTTTCTGAAAAACAACATCGAAAAATGCATTCCCTTATGGAAAATTGCTTGCAAATCATGTATTTATTGGGCAAAAATGTGTACAGCATTGACAGATGCTGACAATTTTTTGCAATGTTTTTAAATAATAATAATAAATCACAAACAGCTGGTGGAAAAGTGGCAAACTGAACTTAAAATTGGAAAACTGAAAAACTGATAGAAACCGAAATAGAGATATTTGTTCATCCAGCCCCAGTATAGTGTATTGGTTAGAGCGTCAGCCTAGGATCTCTGAGTCAAGGTTTCAAATCCCCTCTTGGCCATTAAGCTGTCAGGGAGATAGTTGCCAGTTGCTATCTCTCAGCCTAACCTACCCCACGGGGTTATTGTGGAGGATGAAATGGGAAGAGACAAGAACCACGTACACCACCTTGAGCTGCTTGGAGGAAAAGATGGGATATAAATGCAGTGTGATAAATAAACTATCTAACTTTTGCCTTTCCTCTGAATTTCCCTCTCAATCCTTAGAGAGGTTCCTGGGTGACCAGCGCCTTAGTTACGGGCAGACCCTCTCCGTGTTCTTCCGCATAGCAAGCACCACACCTGACTTCCATTCTTTCCCCATTGGGCTGGTTTTGGAGGGGGATGGCATCTCAGTGTCAGCCAGTTATGCCGATACAGAAGACAGCAGAAATGGCACACACTGTGAAGAGCACATGATAGCGTTCAGGTATCTTTTTCTCTACCATTCTTCCTCACCTGTTCCTATCACAAGCCAAGGTGTTTTGATCTAACAGCCTTTTAAAAATTCTCAAGGATGCAAACAGTAAACAATGGCATTGTGGTGATCAAATGAAAAGTAAAGAGAGGGTCAAGAGAGAATCAAGGTCACCCAATTTAAAAAGTATTATTTTGTTCATGTGAATAGATATGTGTGATATTTGTTGTGATATGTAACTAGGGTAGCCAAGCTGGTTTCCTCCAGATTTTTATGAACTGCAGCTCTCATCACTCCCAGCCAGCATGGCCAATGGTCAGGAATCATGGGAGTTGTAGTCCTAAACATCTGGGAGGCACCACATTGCTCATGGTGGTGCTTTCTAGATTTAAAAATGTTATATTTTTATATACATATATTGTTCTATGCCACCCCGATCTCTTAGTGGTGCAAGGGGTTCCAGGTGCTTACCCGAAGTGTATTTCCTTTGTAAATTAGGCATAGCAAAGACTGCAGTGTCTTTATGATATATGGTTTATTTACACATATATACAACCTGAGCCTACAGTGTACAGAGCATTCACATCACAAGATTCTTTGCTCCTCTCTTAGGAGCAGCAGGCTTAGGTCTACAAACAGGAACCAGCCATGGTGCCTCTCCCTTTGTTACAGCCAACCCGCCAAGAGTTTTGGCAGGCCACCTTCTCCTCCGCTTTTCAAACCTCTTGCAAAGTGCTTACATCTTCTAAGCTGAAATCCTAAACCTGAAATCCTGAAATCCTGAACCTGTTCTGAGCTGCTAGCCACAGCTGTATTTGCAGCGGAGGAGTGAAATGCTAGCATGTTCTTCCCCCTCCTCATTTTTATCATCACAGCAACCCAGGCTGTGACTGGCAACAAGTCACCCTGCAGCTGAGGAGAGTGTTGAAGCCTGGTCTCTCAGGTCCTAATGTAGCACTCTTAACTAAATAGTAATATTAATAAGTTATTGTTAGGTGCTCCTATAACCAGCTCATTTATTGTTTGAGCTTTGAGGAGCATTTAAAGAAATAAATACAACCAACACAGGGCAGTGCAGTGCACTTTATTGCTTTTCAGTTAACGCTAGTCAATTTTTAGTTGGCATCAGAGAGATTTGATTTGCGATCCATTAAAACTTTGGCCACTAAATAGTCAAGTGCTCAGGTCTGACAAGGGAGCAAACAGAAGTCGGATAAGTGTCATTTCACTGGGGGTGATAAGGCCATTGTTAAAGCTCTCATCCTGCTTCCCCATAAGCCCTTTTGTGTGCTTCCAATCCTGTATTACTCAAAGGCTTCACGAGGCTGAGGAAGAAATGCAACCAGCTCTGTCAGCTTTCCAGTTCCAGCGCCTGCTCTCCAACCTGACAGCGCTTCGGATCCAGGCCAAAAGCAGTTATGGACCAGGTAAGTCATTTGAAAACCTGCTATGTGTAGTTGGTCCCTGGTGTAGGCAGTCATGTAAAATGTGCAATTCCTCAAGACCTCTGGTTTTAAGTGAGCTTGAATTTGAATAAGAGCATAAGAAGAGCCTGGCTTGTTCCAGACCAGAGACCCATTTAGTCCAGTGTCCTTACAATTGCCAACCAGGCATCCATTATGGGAAGTCTGTGAAAGCAGAACCTTGCTCTCCCCTCTTGTGATTCCCAGAAACTGGTATTCAGAGGCATACTGCCTCCCAAAATGGAGGTAGAACATAGCCATTGTGGATAGTTTGTCTAATCTGGTACGCCTCTCCTGGTATGCCCCGCAGAGGACCTTAAGGTCCACAAATAACAACACTTTGGAGGTCCCAAGCCGCAAGGTGGTTAGATTGGTCTCAACTAGGGCCAGGGCCTTTTCAGTACTGGCCCCGAATTGGTGGAACGCTCTGTCACAAGAAACTAGGGCCCTGCGGGGCCTGACATCTTTCTGCAGGGCCTGCAAGGCGGAGCTGTTCTGCCTGGCCTTTGGTTTGGACTCAGTCTGACCCTTATCTTTCCCTCCCCTCATGGTTTTGATCTATGGGCTATTATTAAAATGAGGCTGCTTTTTAAATTGTATTTTAACCTGTATTTTAAATTGGTCCCCCTCCATTATGTTTTTATTGTAATTTTACTGGTGTTAGCTGCCCTGAGCCCGGCTCTGGCCTGGGAGGGCGGGGTATAAATAATAATAATAATAATAATAATAATAATAATAATAATAATTATGATGATGATGATGATTATCCTGTTTTAAAGCCATCCAACATATAGGTTGGTGGCTTCTACTGCATCTTGGATGCATGGAGAGGGGAAGGAAAAATAAGAGTATTGGAAGGCTGAGAACCTAAGAAAAGCCCTGCTGGATCAGACAAATGGTCCATTTAGTCCAGCATCCTATTCTCACACTTAGCCAACCAGATGCCCTATGGGAAGCCCAAAAGCAGGACCTGAATGTAACAGTAACTCACCCCATTCATGGTTACCAGCAACTAGCATTCAGAGACAGACTACCTTCAACACTGGAAGTAGAACATAGGGAAGGGGCTGTAGCTCACTGATAAATATCTGCTTTGCATGCAGAAGGTTGCAGGTTCAGTCCCTGGCATCTCCATGTAGGGCTAGGAGAGATCACTTGCCTTGACCCTGGAGAGCTGCTGCCAGTCAGCATAAGCAAGAATGGGCTAGATGGACCGAAGGATCTGACACTGTAAAGGAGCTGCCTGTGTTGCTAGCACAGCCACCATGACTAGGTGTGCAACTGAGTCTTTTCCTCCCTCTGGGTCTCCCTTCTTTCCCCTCAGGTAGGATTCTCCTGAAGGAAGTCCAGCTTACGTCAGCTCACCCAGGCCTCTCTCAGCCTGCCCTGTGGGTTGAAGAATGTATATGCCCGCAAGGATACGTTGGCCAGTTCTGTGAGTCCTGCGCTCCTGGCTTCAAGAGGGAGGTGCCATTCGGTGGCCCCTTGGTCAGTTGTGTTCCCTGCTCTTGCAACCAACATGGCAGCTGTGATCCTGACACAGGTCAGTCCTCTCTCTCTCTTTCTGTCTCTGCCATCCTGTTTGGTATAGTGGTTAGAGTGTCAGACAAGGACCTGGGAGACCAGGGTTCAAATCCCCACTCAGCCATGAAGCTCGCTAGGTGTGATTTTGGGTTGGTCACAGTCTCTCAGCCTAAACTATCTCACAAGGTTGTGGTGGGGATTAAATGAGAAGTGGGGAGAACCATGTGCACCAACTCAAGCTCTTTGGAGAAAATGGTGTGATAGAAATGCAATGAATAAATAAATAAATAAGAATCAATAATTTCTCACATTTGTATTACTTAGTTCAGTTTATGAATCGTTTCTGATAAAATACAGTGGTGCCTCGCAAGACGAAATTAATCCGTTCCGCGAGAGTCTTCGTCTAGCGGTTTTTTCGTCTTGCGAAGCAACCCTATTAGCGGCTTAACGGATTAGCGCTATTAGCGGTTTAGCGGCTATTAAAGGCTTAAAGGCTTAGGGGATTAGCTGCTAAAAAGGCTATTAAAGGCTATTAAAGGCTTAGCAGATTAGATTAAGGGGGAAGCGAAAAAAATCTCAAGACTCGCAAGACATTTTCGTCTTGCGAAGCAAGCCCATAGGGGAATTCGTCCTGCGAAGCAACTCCAAAACGGAAAACCCTTTCGTCTAGCGGTTTTTCCGTCTTGCGAGGCATTCGTCTTGCGGGGCACCACTGTATCCCAAAAGAAATTGAAGAGTAAATGAATTTTCACGATGACTTCTTTTCATTGCAAACTGATGTGGAAATGTGGTGAGCTGAACTTAAGAATGGAAAAATTAGAAAAATTTGCAGATTCACCTACCCCTAGTCCCCATACTGCAGGAATATCATTTAAAAGTACCGTATTTTTCGCCCCATAGGGCGCACCGGCCCATAGGGGCGGGGGCGGGGGAAGCCCAAGGTTCCCCCGACCCCATTCCCCAGAACAGGCTGCTCTCCGCAAGCCGTGGGAGCCCTCCCACGGCTTGCGGAGAGCTACCCGAAGCCCGGGCGCGACTACTCAGCGCGCCCAGGCTTCAGGATAGAAGCAGCTCTGCACAAGCCGTGGGAGGGCTCCCGCGGCTTGCGCAGAGCTACCCGAAGCCTGGGCGTGACTGCTCAGCGCGCCCAAGCTTCAGGATAGAGGCAGCTCTGCGCAAGCCGTGGGAGGGCTCCTGCGGCTTGCGCAGAGCTGCCCAAAGCCCGGGCGCGACTGCTCAGCACGCCCAGGCTTCGGGATGCAGGCAGCTCTCCACAAGCCGTGGGAGCCCGGTGGGAATTCTCGCGGGCTCCCAAGGCTTGCGGATAGCTTCCTGAAGCCTGCATTCACCCCATAGGACGCACACACATTTCCCCTTCATTTTTGGAGGGGAAAAAGTGCGTCCTATAGGGCGAAAAATACGGTACTCCCAGGATTTCTCCAGTACATTCATACCTTGGGTTGAATGTGCTTCAAGTTGAGCGCGTTCGGGTTGCGCTGCACAGCAACCCGGAAGTAATGGAGCGCGTTACTTGCAGGTTTCGTCGCTCACGCATGCGCAGGCACTCAAAATGACATCACATGCATGAGCAGAAGCGGTGAAACATGACTTGTGCACACATAGACTCGCCGTCGCGCCATTTCGTCTTATGTTCCATTCAGGATGCGAACGGGGCTCCGGAACGGAACCCGTTCGCATCCTGAGGTACAGCTGTACAAAGTTAACATGGACAGTAACATTCAGACTGAAAGGAAAATATCACTGGACATGTCCACACAGTGACCAAGTTAACCCAATCCAGGTATGGCTGTTGTGTGTGATTCCTCAAACCACACACACATGTGCTTAGAGGCTGCCAGCATCTGGCTCGTGCTCTGTTACTGCAACATATGGGCTGCTTCATGGGACATGACTGAGATGCACAAAGGCTTGTATTGCTCCTTTTTATAAAAAAAAAAAAAAAGGAAAATTCTTAACAAGTTCCTTTGTTTTACCAAATGGAAACAGCACAACTCTTTGCTGTCTTCTCCCACCCCCGCCTTTTTTTTACTGAGGAATTCCACTGCGTCTGGTCTCCTCCTTTCTGGTTCCACGCAATCCTTGGATGCAATTCCAGGGCTTTGATCTTGCAGCTCTAATTTCCTTCAATCAAGCTGTGCGTCCGTCAGATAGGCTCTTGCCAGTCATTTGATTTCTTCCAGCCCTGCCACATCCACCCTCTTCTTCCTTGCCCCCATTTGCCCGGCTCTGTTTGCAACTCCGTTTCCCAGAGCAAACTCCAAGCCAGCCAACACAGCCTTGTTCCCATCTTGTGTTGCTTGCTATACTGGTTAGGTGGACCTTTGCAGGAAATTGTGAACTGAGCGTGTTCAGTGGGTGTAGAACACGAGTGAATGGTGGGTGGTGGTGTAAATGAAATGGATTATCTTGGTAGAGAACATAGGTGACTGAACCCCTGAATAGAAGCTCCTAGACATGTTGGGAAATCCTGCTGCAAAACAGGAGCGGAAATTGCCACAATGTGCTTGTTCATCAAAGTTCAGAAATTAAAGCCAAGCAAGCAAATATGAGCACTGTTGTTTCCATAAATGCTACAAAAATAATTATGTGATTGTATGCATTGCTTTTAACATTTCCTTCCACTAAAATCAAGTAAAATATTTATTGTTACGGTCAGCAACTAGCATCAAGGAAACAAAATAGAAATCATATAAGACACATTATCCAAATGCGTTATCATGTAAATCAATCACATAACTAATCTTGTTTGTTTCAGTTGTAGTGGCTAGTGAAGTGAATGAAATAGGCTCTAGTGGAACTTGAACTGTGGGGAAATGGAAACAGCACTGATTTCAGTGAATGGTGGATGGGATGGAAACTGCTACCTCCTTACATTCCTAAGAGGACTTCATGCTGCAACATTTTCTTGCAGCTCCTGCTACCATAAATGATAGCTACTGCTGATCCAAAAACTTTACCACTGTGGCAGTTCCCCTACAGTATTTGCCATCACTTGGAACCTTTTCTTATGGCTTACCAAATTTCAAAAATTAATAATGGCAATTGTGTTTACAGTTGTGACATATCACTCCTAACCACATGCAAAAGTGTGTTGCTCTACACTCTTTTCTTCTTCCAATTCTCTTTTGATTTCGTATTGGAAACAGCTTCTCTGTCTGCCTGGAGCGATCTCTAAGAAAGGGCATTTTGAATCTACAGACACGGCCCTTCATAATCAGAGGTTCTCTGGCTATGCTCTATTTGAAGTTTAAGACCTTTGCAAGTCACCTGCATCCCATTTTGAAGCTTGCATTTATTTCTTTATGTTGTCTCCACTTTTTATGGGCTAAAACTGCTGATGGTTAACAGAAAACCAAGCAGCATGGAAATGATGAGCCAGTGTGATTTATTGGTGGTTGAAACTATTTAAGCAGGCTTACTAGCAACAGGCATCCTTTCTCCAGTTCCAGGAAGCTGTTTTCTTGTGTAATGCCCATTCATGTCAATGGAGCTTATTCAACAGAAATACCTGATGGTTTATGTGCAGATAAAACAGGGGTGAGAAATCTAGGACCTGGGGCCCAAATGCAGCCCTCCAAACCTTTTTGTTTGGGCTAGGGCTGGGTGATACCAGACCCTCCAAGTGTCCCTATTTTCCAGGGATGTCCCTGATTTTGAGAAGCCATCCCTGTTTCTGATTTGATCCCAGAATATCCCACTTTTCCTTAGGATGTCTCTATTTTCATTGAAGAAATGTTGGAGGTGATGGAGTTATCTGAAGGCAATCTTTTTTAATTTTAATTTTAATTATGTTGGAAGCTGCCTAGAGTGGCTGGGGCAACCCAGTAAGATGTGTGGGGTATAAATAGTAAAATCATCATTATGGAATGGGAAGTCCTTATTTTCATCGGAGAAATGTTGGAGGGTATGTGATACATTGTCCAAAACTGGTTTGACATGGCACAAACTATGATGTGTGCATGTCCCAGGGTTGCCAAATCCAGAAACAAAAGTTGTTGAGCTTTTTTTTTTTTAAGGAAATTCACCAAAATCTAAACTTTCTGACATGGGTTGCACTACGTCAGGGTTTCAAAAAATTTCGTCTCTACCCTGATTCAAACAGTAGTGTTCTGTTTGCTCTGCAGGGGGCAGAGAAGCACAAGAGCATGTATCAAAGAAAGCAGCCTATCAAAGACCTTTCCTCAGTAACTTACGTAGACACCATGAGTTTCTTGTTTAAAGTGCCAGCACCAGGCTAGGAGGTAGTTGAAGGAGACCTCATGATACTTGAACTTTGCTGGGACTGTCACAAGAGCAGGAAGCCCTTTCTACCTTGCCTCCCGAAAGCCCCCCATGCTTTTGAGCCCTCAGCCAGGGCTAACTTGGCAGCCACTAGTAATCTCGTAGAAAAATAAGCTGGGGTTATTTAATTCTGAGTTTTAAAAATAAAAATAAACCTTTCCCTGTCGTTTAAGCCCCTTTCTCCCCTTTCCCCTTCTGTGTAGGGTTGCCATATTTCAAGAAGTGAAAATCTAGACACAAAAGCCGACTTAGCTTGCTGTACATCCAGATTTCCCCTGACATTTCAGCGATTTCCTGTAAGTTCAGGAAAATCTGGAAGTACGACAACCCTATGCTGGTGTGTCTGTGTCTCCATTGTGTCTATTTGGGAACATTCTTTTATCTTATTTTTTGATATCTATGCTGCTAATTACTTCTACAGCTTTTATCTTAGAGAAAAGGTGATAATCTAAAAAGCACCTGTGCTGTAAAATAGCAGTTGTAACAATATGTTAAAGGTCAGTACGATTTTGTAAGTTTTAGACCCATAAGTAGTAGTGGTTGCCAGTACATTATGCTGTTCACATCTACACAATTCCATCCTTATTTCAGACATCTTGTAATATTGGTATATTGTGATGTTAACTGGCAACATATCACAATATTGAAAACTAGACATCGCCCTGCCCTAGTCTGGACCTTGGAGCTCTCTGCAGAGGGTGGCACAGAGCCCTGGCACCGCCTCCCCAAAACTGGAAGTTGAGTAAGCACTTGCCTAGCGTTGGGGGGAAAAAGAAGGGCTTTAGGACCCTGCCAGAGCCCAGGAGCTTCCTTCCTAGAGCCAGAGCAGTGCCGGCAATTTTGAAGCGGCACAAAATTGGGAAGGTCCATAACTGGAGAAGAGATATATTTGGGGGCTCCAAATATTGGCTTCAGAAGATTACCAAAGTCCATCCATTTTATCTGTCTTTGGGAGAGTGTTGCAAGGGCTCTGGAATAGGAGTAAACCTTATGTGATCACAACTTTGTTCAGGTGTTTTTGGGTGGGTGGGGAATAAATATTTATTTTCCCACACACCTCCTGACGCCAAAGTTATACTGGGACACTTGCAAGAGCAGGAAGCCCTTTCTGCCTCACCTCTCGAAAGCCCCCCATGTTGCTGAGGCTTGCTTGGCAGCTGCTGCTAATACAAGAAAAAGAATAAACTGGGATTTTTTATTTCTGAGTTTAAAATAATTGAAATAAACATAGCCTTGTTGTTTAAGCCTCTTTCCTCCCTTCTCCCCTTCTGTGTGTGCTGGTGTGTCTGAATCTCCCTCCTGTCTGTTAGGGAACATTCTGCCACCTTAGATTTGATAATTTATACTACTAGTTACTTCTACAACTTTGATTTTAGGAAAGGGTGCTAATTTTGAAATTATTTGCACTGTAAAATAACCGGCATAACAATAGCTGATAGGTAAATTTTTGACCCCTAAGTAGTAGGAGTTGCAAAATACATCACCCCATTTGTCTCTACATAGTTCCATCCTTATTTCAGACATGGTCTTATATATCGGTATATTGTGACATATCACAATGTTGAAAACCAGACATCGCCAAGCCCTCATCGCAGCTGTTTTTCTTTTTGACCTATGTTTATGTGTGATGTTCATTTTAGTCTGTCAATCTCCTTGGCTATTCAGATAGCAGAATCTCATATATGATATAATATGTTGCATGTAAGACCTGCTTTTGTTGTAAGGTATGTTTTTCCAGAGGTACTTAATGCTATTTTGAGAAAATTATTCCTATTCTCGTTGGGTTTTTTTTACATAGTACTATGCTATTTCATCCAAAAATACTTGCGAAGATCCACTTGATGGCGCCAAATATTGGCCACGCAGAGGATGCCATTTTAAGAGTGATTACAAAGTGCATCCATTTTGTGTGGCTTTTGGAAGGGCGGCGCCAGAGCCCGGGCACCGCCTTCCCAAAGCCGGAAATCTAGTACTTGATTGCCCATCTTTGGGAAAGAGTTAAGGGCTCTAGGACCCTGCCAGAGCTTGAATATTCCTTTCCAGAGCCAGACATCACCCAGCCCTAGTTGCAGCACTTTTCCTTTCTGACCTATGTTTATGTAGGATGCTTATTTTAGTCTGTTAATCTCTATGCATTTTCAAGTAGCGGAATGTCATATATGCCATAATACATTGCATGCAGGACCTGCTTTGGTTGTAGGGTATATTCCTCCTGAGGTACTTAAAAGTGTTTCTAGTCCATTATTCCTGTTCTCCTTTTTACATAGTTCTATGCTATTTTAGTCATTCAGAAATCTGATGTGCTGCAAAATTGACAAGCTACACTTGGGGGCGCCAAAAAGCTGCACATTTTAGGAAAGATTACAAAGTGCATCAGTGTTGTGTGGCCTTGGGAGGGTGGCACTAGGGCTCTGGAGGCAGCCCTGGCAATGCCTTCCTGAAGCCGGAAGTCTAGTAAGTGCTTGCCCACACAAAAGTGAGAAGATCCATTTGGGGGCGCTTATACTAGCCTCCCAGAGGTCTCCATTTTAGGGAAGATTACAAAGTGCATCCATTTTGTGTGGCTGTTGGAGGGCGGCACAAAGCCCTGGCACCGCCTTCCAAAAGCCAGAAGTTTAGTAAGTGCTTGCCCAGTTTTAGGAACCAGGGAAGGGCTCTAGGAAGATGCCAGAGCCTGGTTTTCCTGCGCAGGGTGTCACACCAAGGTGGCACAATATTGTACCTGCAGTTTTTATGCACAGGGCGCCCAGCCTAGATGGCACAAAATCTGAGGCTCTTGCAAGAACACAAAGCCCTTTCTGCCTCCCTTGCCAAAAGCCTGGCAGGTTCTTGTGGCTCACATGGCAGCCTCCGCTATTGTGATAGAAAAATAAACGGGGGTTATTTAATTGTGAGTTTAAACCTCTTTCCTCCCTTTGCCTCCCCCCCATCTGTGTCTATCTCATCTCTGTTAGGGAACATTCTCTCATCTTATCTTTGACATCTGTGCTGCTGATTTCTTCCACAGATTTTATTTTAGAGAAAAGGTGCAGATTTAAGAAATATTGGTAATATGAAATCACAGTTGTAATAATTTCTTAAGTGTAAGTAAAAATAAATACGTTTTAGACCCCTAACTAATATGAGTTGCCGGCACGTAACTCAGTTCGTTCTACATATCTCCGTTCATATTTCAGATACGGACATGGTGCTGTATCGGTATATATATCGCGATGACATATCACAATGTTGAAAAGCAAGACATCGCTCAGCCCTCCTTGCAAAATTGAGAAGATCCTCTTGGGGGCGCCAAAATGGCCGCCATTTTAGGAAAGATTAAGAACTGGGTCCATTTTGTGTGGCTGTTGGAAGAGGGCGGCGCTTGAGGTGCTTCCAAGGGCCTGGCACCGCCATATTGAAGCCGGAAGCCTATTAAGGGCTTGCCCACACAAAGGTGGGAAGATGCATACTTGAGAATATCCACTTGGGGCGGCAAAGCTTCCCATAGACTGCAGCCATTTTAGGAAAGATTACAAAGTGCATCCATTTTGTGTGGCTGTTGGAATGCGATGCTAGGGCTCTTGGAGGCTGCTGCAGCCCTGGTACTGCCTTCCTGGAGCTGGAAGTCTAGTAACTGCTTGCCCAGTTTTGGAAGCAGGGAAGGGCTCTAGGGTGCTGCCAGAGCCCTCCAGTTTTCTTCCCAGAGCCAAATCGGAGCCTGCAGTTTTTAAGCAAGAGTCACCCTGCCTAGGTGGCACAAAATTTGGGGCTGTTGCATGAGCAGGAAGCCTTTTCTGCCTCCCCTCCCCAAAGCCTGGCATGTTACTGTGGCTCGCTTGGCAGCCTCCACTACTCTGGTAGAAAAATAAACTGGAGTTATTTAATGCTGAGTTTAAAACAATAAAAATAATTCTTGCCCTATTTAAGCCTCTTTCTTCCTGTTGTCCCCCCCCCCAATCTGTGTCTCCCTCATATCTGTTAGGGAGCTTTCTCTCACCTTACCTTTGACATCTAAGCTGATAATTTTTTCTACAGCTTTTATTTTAGAGAGAATGTATTATTTTAAAAAATATTGGTAATATAAAATCACAGTTGTAACAATTTCTTAAGCGTAAGTTAAAATGAGTAAGTTTTAGACCCCTAACTAATATGAGTTGCCGGCACATAACCCTGTTCGTCTCTACATATCTCCGTTCATATTTCAGACACAGACATGGTGCTGTATCGGTATATATTGCGATGACATATCACAATGTTGAAAAGCAAGATATCGCTCAGCCCTCCTTGCAAAATTGAGAAGATCCTCTTGGGGGCGCCAAATACTGGCCTCCCATTGGCCGCCATTTTAGGAAAGATTACAAAGTGCATCCATTTTGTGTGGCTGTTGGAAGAGGGCGGCGCTAAGGCTGGGATGCTTCCAAAGGCCTGGCACTGCCATACTGAAGCCGAAAGCCTAGTAAGGGCTTGCCCACACAAAGGTGAGAAGATCCACTTGGGGGCGCCAAATCCTAGCTTCCCACAGGCAGCAGCTATATTAGGAAAGATTACAAGGTGCATCCATTTTGTGTGGCTTTTGGGAGGGCGGTGCTAGGGGAGCTTCCAAAGGCCTGGCACCACCATACTGAAGCCAGAAGCCTATTAAGGGCTTGCCCACACAAAGGTGAGAAGATGCATTCTTGAGAAGATCCACTTGGGGGTGCCAAATCCTAGCTTCCCACAGGCAGCAGCCATATTAGGAAAGATTACAAGGTGCATCCATTTTGTGTGGCTTTTGGGAGGGCGGTGCTAGGGGTGCTTCCAAAGGCCTGGCACCACCATACTGAAGCCAGAAGCCTATTAAGGGCTTGCCCACACAAAGGTGAGAAGATGCATTCTTGAGAAGATCCACTTGGGGGCACCAAAGCTTCCCACAGGCCGCAGCCATTTTAGGAAAGATTACAAAGTGCATCCATTTTGTGTGGCTGTTGGAGGGTGGTGCTAGAGCCCTGGCACCGCCTCCCGAAAGTGGAAAGTCCAGTAAGTGCTTGCCTAGCTGTGGGAAGGAGGGAAGGGCTCTAGAGTGCTTCCAGAGCCCTGGAGTTCCCTTCCCAGAGTCAGAGCAGTATGGGCAGTTTTTCTGCACAGGGTGCCCAGCTGAGGTGGCACAAAATTTTAAGGATCCTTTTTATCTGCCCTTGGAAGGGCAACACAAGGACTCTGGGAAACTGCCAGAGCCCGAACAGCACCTTCCCACAGCTGAGTAAAACAAATGCGATTGCAGCTTTGCTGTAGTGCAGAGCTTTCCAAACTGTGTGTCGCAATGCGTGTGTCCTGCCACCTGAACACTCGCCCCCCTTTTTCCTGGGGGGGTGGAAAGGGATTCATTTAACCTGCAGTTTGCTAGAAAAACTGAATTACTGTGTCTCGAAATGATGTATGCCTAAAAGTGAGTCCCAGGCATGAAAACTTTGGAAAGCTCTGCTTGTGTGTGTGTGTTTGTGTGTGCGTGCGCGTGTGCACGTGCACGTGCACGTGCACTATTTATTTACTTCCCTAAACGGGGGTTATTTCAAAAAATAAACCTTGCTCTGTTTTTTAAGCCTCATTCCTCCCTTGTCCCCTTCCTTCTGTGTTTCTCCCTTATGTCTGTTGGGAAATGTTCTCCCACTTTAACTCTGATATCTAGGCTACTAAATGCCTGCACAGGTTTGATTGTAGAGAAAAGGAGCAAATTTTAAAATTATCTGCGCTATAAAATAACGGTTGTAACAATATGCTAAAGGTAAGTACGAGTTTATAAAATTTAGACCCCCTAGGTAATAGCCATTCCCAGAATATCATCCCGTTCGTTTGCTTCTACATAGTTTCATCCTTATTTTAGACATTGTGTTACATCCGTATATTGCGATGTTTAGCTGGTGACATATCACGATGTTGAAATCGCCCAGCCTTCATTGCAATATTAAGAAGTTCCACTTGGGGCCGCCAAATATTGGGCTGCCAGAGGCTGCCATTTTAGGAAAGATTACAAAGTGCATCCATTTTGTGTGGCTGTTGGAAGAGGGCGGCGCTAAGGCTGGGATGCTTCCAAAGGCCTGGCACCGCCATACTGAAGCCGAAAGCCTATTAAGGGCTTGCCCACACAAAGGTGAGAAGATGCATTCTTGAGAAGATCCACTTGGGGGCACCAAATACTATCCTAGCTTCCCACAGGCCGCAGCCATTTTAGGAAGATTACAAAGTGCATCCATTTTGTGTGGCTTTTGGGAGGGCGGTGCTAGGGGTGCTTCCAGAGGCCTGGCACCACCATACTGAAGCCAGAAACCTATTAAGGGCTTGCCCACACAAAGGTGAGAAGATGCATTCTTGAGAAGATCCACTTGGGGGCACCAAATACTATCCTAGCTTCCCACAGGCCGCAGCCATTTTAGGAAGATTACAAAGTGCATCCATTTTGTGTGGCTTTTGGGAGGGCGGTGCTAGGGGTGCTTCCAGAGGCCTGGCACCACCATACTGAAGCCAGAAACCTATTAAGGGCTTGCCCACACAAAGGTGAGAAGATGCATTCTTGAGAAGATCCACTTGAGGGCACCAAATACTATCCTAGCTTCCCACAGGCCGCAGCCATTTTAGGAAGATTACAAAGTGCATCCATTTTGTGTGGCTTTTGGGAGGGCGGTGCTAGGGGTGCTTCCAAAGGCCTGGCACCACCATACTGAAGCCGGAAACCTATTAAGGGCTTGCCCAAACAAAGGTGAGAAGATGCATTCTTGAGAAGATCCACTTGGGGGCGCCAAATACTATCCTAGCTTCCCACAGGCCGCAGCCATTTTAGGAAGATTACAAAGTGCATCCATTTTGTGTGGCTTTTGGGAGGGCGGTGCTAGAGCCCTGGCACCACCTTCCAAAAGCCTGAAGTCTGGTAAGTGCTTGCCCAGGTTTGGGAAAGAGAGAAGGGCTCTGGGACCCTGCCAGAGCCTGGTTTTCCTGTGCAGGGTGCCATGCCAAGGTGGTACAAAATTGGAAAAATCCATAATTGAGACAATCCAATTGGAGGGGGTAGCACATTTTGGCTTTGAAAGAAGTTAGTCATCCCCCTCCATGTTCCTGACGCTTGCTTTTCTAGTAGAATAATAAACTAGGATTATTTATTGCTGATTTAAAATTAATATTAAAAAACCTTCCTTTGTTGTTGAAGCCTGTTTCCTCTCCTCTCCCCTTCTGTATATGCTGGTGTGTCTTTTATTTTAGACCAAAGGTGATAATTTTAAAAATATTGGTGTATCACGATGTTTAGCTGGTGACAAATCACGATGTTGACATCGCCCAGCCCTTGTTGCAGCCCTTTTCCTTTCTGACCTACTGGATGCTCATTTCAGTCTGTCAATATCTGTGCCTTTTCAAGTAGCAGAACCTCATATAGGATATAATACATTGCACGTAGGACCTGCTTTAGTTGTAGGGTATATTCATCCTGAGATACTTAAAAGTGTTTCCAGCCCATTACTATTCCTGTTCTGCTTTTTAGATAGTGCTATGCTATTTCAGTCCTCCTAAAATTGGAGGTGGTGCAAAATTAAGAAGATCCACTTGGAGGTGCCAGATATTGCCTTGCATAGGCTGCAATGATTATGTGGCTGTGGGGAGGGCAGTGCTGGGGCTCTGTGGGGCTCTGTAGGGACTCTGTGGGGACTTTCCCATCTTTGGATGGAGGGAAGGACTCTAGGGTACTGCCAGAGTCTTGACAGTTTTCCTTCACAGGGCACTGAGTGAAGGCGGCACAAATTGGGAAGATCCATAATTGAGAATATCTATTCGGGAGCACCAAATATTGGCTTCAAAGGATTGCCGAAGTCTGGTCTATTTTATCCATCTTGGGGAGGGCGGCACAAAAGCCTCTTGTTTAAGTCTCTTTCCTCCCCGCTCCCCTTCTGTGTGTGCTGGTGTGTTTGTGTCTCTCTCCTCTCTGTTAGGGAACATTATCTCACCTTACCTTTGATACACATGCTACTAGTATCGTCTACAACTTTTATTTTAAGTGAAAGGTGCTAATTTCAAAATTATCGGTAAAATAAAATCACATTTGTAGCCCTTGCTGCAAGTCTTTTCCTTTCTGACCTGTGTTTATGTGGGATACTCATTTTAGCCTTTCATTCTCAGAACCTCATATATCATATAACACATTGCATGTAGTACCTGCTTTGGTTGTAGGTTATATTCCTCCATTATTTTTGTTCTCCTTTTTACATAGTTTTACATTTCAGTCATAAAATCTGAGGTGTCACAAAATTGAGAAGATCCACTTGGGGGCGCCATATATTGGCCTTGTGCAGGCTGCAAGGATTACTGTAGGAGTGTGGCATGAGGGCTACTACATGCTTGCCCAGCATTAGGAAGGAGACTGCCAGAGCCCTGACTTTCCTTCCCACACTCAGAGTTCTGGGAAGATTAATCATTGAGAATATCTATTTGGGGGCGCCAACTATTGGCTTTCGAAAGATTACCAAAGTCTGTCCGGTTTATCCATCTTTGGGAGGGCAGCACAAGACTCTGGCATCCACAGCTAGTCCAATGGAAAAATAAACTGGGAGTATTTACCTCTGAGCTAAAAATAATTGAAATAAAACTTGCCCTGTTTTTTATGCCTCTTTCCTCCTTTATCCTCTTCTCTCTGTGTGTGTCTCCTTCCGGTCTATTAGGGAACATTCTGCCAACTTACTTTTGATATTTATGCCTCTAATTACTTCTACAGCTTGTATTTTAGAGAAAAGATGATTATCTAAAACTCACCTGTTCTGTAAAATAACAGTTGTAACAATATGTTAAAGGTAAGTACGATTTTATAAGTTTTAGACACCAAAGTAGTAGTGGTTGCCAGCACATTATGCTGTTCACCTGTACACAATTCCATCCTTATTTAAGACAACATATCACAACGTTGAAAACTATACATTACCCTGCCCTAGTCTGGACCTTGGAGCTCTCCACAGGCCACACAACCCTCACTGGCCCTGCTTCACACCCTCCTTGAGCTTTTTTGCCTGGTTGGAATGTATCATTTGCTTGCCTGGATGGAGATGTGTGTGTGTTTGTATGTCTCTGTGTGTAGAAACTAGCTTCCTAAAGTAAAAAAATTAAATGCACTGCTGTGTCCACCTTTGCCTCTGGCCCTGCCCACCACTGGCATGTGGTTCCCAGAAGGTTGCCCAGAAGGAGTGTCTCCACCCCCTCCGTTCAGCCTATTTAGCCTGGACACTGTGGTCCACCTCCTAGGGTTTTCTGGGAGTTCCCTCACTGCCAGAAGTGAAGCTATGGGGAACCAGGCAGAGGGCCTTCTTGGTAGTGGCACCCACTCTGCGGAACGCCTTCTCTTCAGATGTCAAGGAGATGAGTAACTATGTAACCTTTAGAAGACATCTGTATAGGGAAGCTTTTTAAAGTTCAATGTTTTATATATACTGGAAGCCACCCAGAGTGGTGGGGGCAACGCAGTCAGATGGGTGGGTACAAATAACAACAACAACAACAATTATTATTATTATTATTAGCCTCATGCTAGCCCAGCTTCTATTTGAACGTTAAATGGTTTTGCTGATTTCCGTGTGCGTGCTTTATTTATTCTTTTATCTGTTTTATTGATAATTTTATTATGTCCACCAGTTAGATCGCTGAATCAAAAAGCTCACTGTTTCTACCTTGTTTTTGTACACCACTTTGACGTGTTTAACATAAAGTGATTTATACATTTTGGAAATAAAACAAGAAGAATGTTTGGGACAGGCCCCGGACAGCTAACTGTTCATTCAATATTTCTATGACTTCCAAAAATAAATAACTTCCATGTGAGACAACACACCGACCAATATTTTTCAATTTCAAATGAGGGCTGCGCCATTGAGCAGACTAAGGAGATTAGTTGGTTAAAATATAAATATAAAATGTAGATATATTTAATCCAGATATATGAACTGGACCCCTGGTCAATAAGAGCCTAGATGGACTACCTGCCCAGACCAAAATGGCCGCTATGTTGTTCTTACAAAAAAACAAAACCATGTTTCCATTTAAGGAAAGCAAGCAGTTGTTTTTCCTTTTCTCCTATCTTAACTCCTGATGGCTTGTCCTGTTCCTTTTCCCACCAGGCCTCTGCCAATGTCTCCACAACACAGAGGGGCCTTCCTGTGAGCGTTGTGCTGCTGGTTTCCATGGCAACCCCTTCACTGGCCGCTTTGATGACTGTAAGCCTTGCCCTTGCCCTGGCCAGACGCCTTGCTTGGCTCTCCCACAGAGCGGAGAGGTGGTCTGTACCCACTGCCCACTGGGACAAAGAGGTGCGTATAACTATTGGGGCTGTGCTCATACGTTAAACCAGTGGTTGCCAATCTGCCAATCTGTGGGGTTTTTTTGCTGGTGACCATGAAGCCTCTGATTCCTGCTCCACAAACTGCTCCCTTGGTCCTGAGGTGGGTGCCTTATTTCCCCTTGAAAAGTAAATAGATGCTCTTTCCCACTTCCTCCTTTAGCTCTCTTTGCTTTTCAAGGCACCTCTGAGAATCTCAGTTCTTCTTGGGGTTTTTTAAAGTGCAAGTTGCTGGTCCTTATGGCTATGGAACTAAATCTGGGGATATGTTTCTGCCTTTGCCCTCTCCCGTTCTCCTCTGTCTCTCTGTCTTTGTTCGAATGAACCTCTATGTTTATTTTAAACATTGACTCATGGAATCAGCAACAAACATTTTATACCTCTGTGTCATTTGCCATTAGTGACAGAAAATCAATTTCAGAAGGAAAAGGAACATACAATTTTGTCTTTATGGCTTATAGGGAAGTTTGGATTCATGTCAATGATGACAAACACCAGAGCAGAGTGAAATAATTCTCCTGCTTGAGTTAATAATGGCAGATGGGCTGCTGCTGTAATGCTTCCTAGGAGACCAACAAGTGATATTTTTCAGTCAGTTGAAGATGGATTGAAAGAGGAATTAGTAATCTTAGTGAATGCAGTCATCCCACAGAACAGGATGAACAAGTTATATTCCTATTGTTCCAAAAACCTACCAACTCTACTCAGCCAGAAAGCACCTGCGTTACATGTGTATGCTTTGGAAAGTGATACCTTTTGCAAACTGCTTTCAGCTCTCTTAGGAACTGCAGTACCATCTGCAGTCTCTTTTGGTGGGACTTGTTGACAAAACCTGGTTCTCCCTACCTCTGCTGTTCTTCTCTAGGGAGACTCTGTGAGCTGTGTGATGATGGCTTTTTCGGCGACCCCCTGGGAAGGAATGGTCCAGTCCGACCTTGCAGCCCCTGTGAATGCAACAGCAACGTGGACCCCAATGCCGTGGGCAACTGTGATCCTGTCTCAGGCCAGTGTCTCCGCTGCTTATACAACACAGCAGGAGGACACTGTGAGAGGTGTCAGGAAGGCTTCTATGGAGATCCACTAGCCACCAACCATGCTGTGAAGTGTACACGTGAGTACAGGCCTTCCATCATCCTGAGAGCTGCTTGGAAACCTTTTGGTCCAGCAGCATGCAGAAGTTTAAAAAAGTATTCCAGGGGTTCCAGCCTCTTACCCAAAGTCCATTTTTCCTTTTGGAATGAGGCACAGTGGAGACTGTTGTGTCTTTATGATATTTACACATATATACAACCTGAGCCTACGATGGAGGGGTTCACAGCATCAACACCCCAAAAGGGTCTTGTTTCTCCTACAGTTGCAGCCTTGGATTCAAACAGAAATCAAACATTGCTCTCAAATGTTGCTCTGTCTCTCTCTCCAGCTTGCTGCTTTACTGCAAATGTTCAACTCCCAACTTTGCTCTTGATTTTGTCATTAACATAGATAAAGAAAGGAGTCTATATTTCTTGGAAAGTATCTCTTTTCATTATGCCTTTATCACCCTCCTGTGTCCGGTGAGATGCTCTGACATTGGCGTAGGTCAGATATTATTTCCCCATTTTTAAAAGAAAGAGGGGGCCCTGTGTCCTGCCCACTTCCACGTGGGCTTATCGGCGCGACACCTTCAGTGACTCTCCCATAACATGGAAGCTGCAAAATATGGAAACTGAGAATTCTTTTAGGCTGCGTCCAGTCTTCCTGGATTTCCTGTGCTAAATGGAAATTGTAGCAAGAGCAGTGGGCCCTGTTGCTGACCTTGGTTTCGCTGATGAATGTCCAGCCTTGCTGCCTTCTGGAGCTAATCTTTAAACCAATTGATGCTTCTGGACACTTCAAAGGCAACTAAAAAGGAAAAATAATCACAAAATTATGGTTTCCACAAAATCATAAATTACAACACAGGTGGGAAACCTCAGACAACACTATCTTAATCATTTTTTAAGGAGTGTTTTTGCCTGGCGTGGATAGAGAGGGATGTAAATGTGTGTAGAAACAACCCTACTGTAAAAAGGTAAAATTTACATTCATTGCCCCACCTTTTTTTGCTTCTGGCCTTGACCACTTCTATGAAGCAGCTCTAGAACAATTGCATATAAGGACATATCCTGTTTTGGATAGCCAACATGCCCATCCAGGCGGATTTTTACATTTTAATGGAAATGTCCAGGTTTGGGGTTTATTTTATTTTTTGGTTTTCGGGTGGGGAGGCATGCACATGCTTGGGAGGGCACTGTGCCCCAGAAGCGCCACAGTGGAGCGAGGCCATCACAGCAAAGAGCAAAGATCAGGTAGGAGCTGGGGTTCTGCCTCCACTTGGCCTGGCAGTGGCTCAGCCTCGGACTGCTCTGCATGCCGTGGCCCACTGGATGGAGTATCCATTTGTATGTGGCCCTTGGAATGTTGAATGCAATAGAATGTGGCCCTGAGGCCAAAAGAAGCTCCCCACCCAGGTTTAAAACAATAAAAACTATTTATTTTTGAAAAAAACAAACAAGCCAACAGAATGGAAAATTTAGATTTTAAATGCACACAACAAATATGGGTTGCTTGTTGAATGGGGGGCCTGTGTTGTGCCAAGGCCAGTAGGCTTAGCCCACCAAGTATTTAAGTGTAAGAATGTATTTTCCCTCCCCTCATCCTTCCTAGCCTGCAAGTGTAACCCTGGAGGCTCTACCAATGGAGCAGCGACTTGTGATGATGTCACCGGTCAGTGCATCTGCCTCCCCCATGTGACTGGGCGGGACTGCAGCCAATGCCAAGCAGGTTATTATGACCTCCAGCCAGGAAAGGGTTGCAAAAGGTAATCAGGTGGAGTGGGTGGGAAGGAAGGGTGGGGGAGAAAATGATTTTTAGAGAAAAATCAGGCAGGGAATATGTAATATAGAAGGAACCTGCCTTATACTGAGTCAAACCATTGGGTCCATCTAGCTCAATATTGTCTACACTGACTGGCAGCAGCTCTCCAGTATTGCAAGCAGGTTTCTCTCCTTGCCCTACCTGGAGAAGCCAGAGGCTGAACCTGTGACCTTCTGCATGCAAAGCAGATGCTCTTCCTCTGAGCTACAGCCTCTTCCCATAGCCTATTCTGTGGTTAAACATATTCTGATTACTATTGTACTGCTGATTGGAGTTCAATATTGTGACAAGTATACCCTAGTTATGGAGCTGAACAACCTCGTCATACATACTTGCTAAGATTTCTTGTTATGGCAGTGAACTTTGACTTTTATTGATAATTATAGTATTTGTTTTACTTTCCTTAAAGGTTTTTCCCATTTTGGGGTGGTTGTTTTTTCAAAATTTCTGTACTAATTGATTGTAAATGAAACTTTACAGCTGTTTACAAAACAAAACAAAACAAAACAAAACATAAAAACATTAAAATTATCAATAAAACACTGAGGTTCTATTTACAGTCAGGTGGTGTATAAAATTAATTAATTAGGGCAGGCAGGCAGTCCCATAGTTTTTCCACCACATAGGATGTCCGGTATCTTTTCTGAGCCAACTTAACGAATCTTAACAGTGTGTGGTTGAGAAGGACCTGGAAGCAAATCTTAGTGCAGAACAATGGTTCTCAAAGTTTTCCTCTGGGTCATATTTTCAGAAGAAACATTTGCTTGTGCCACTTCTATTTTTATTGATAAGAAATACATTGGAAAACAAAAAGAAACAACTCTTAGCATTGTTGGATTTTGAAAAGCTATCTATCCATATTCTGCAAATAAATACAAATAATATTGTGATGGCATAATCTACCCTACTACCCTGAGATGTTTGTTATTTTCCTTTGATTGTCCTTGAATCTTCCCGCCGTACTTGCCATCCTCTCTTGCCACACCATTGCGGCAAACCACACCCTTTGAGAACCACTGGCACAGAGACAGGATTATATGAGCAGGCCATTGAGTAACCTGGTTCTAAGCTGTTTCTTCTTCTCTCTCTATCTCTCCCTCTCTCCCCCTCCTCAGTTGCCAATGTCACCCAGTAGGTTCTCAACACAGCCGCTGCCACCCGCTCACAGGGCAATGCTCTTGTCAACCTGGCGTGGAAGGTGTGTCATGTGATCAGTGCCAGGCTGGTTTCTTTGGCTTCTCATTCCAAGGATGCCGAGGTAACTCCAGCGCCTGATTGAGCGTCTTCACAGTTTGCTATAGTGTCTTGTCCTGGATGCAGGGCTCTCTTTCTCTTTGGGCTTCCTCCCTGCACTCCACTGGAATGCAACTGATTAAGAGGATCTGTCATAAAATGGGGTGGAGATGGGGTGGAGACTGATAAATTAGTCACAATGTGGAGCATCCTGCAGAAGAGCCTGGATCAGGTTAAAGGCTAGTCCAGCATCTCATTCTCACAGTGGCCACCAGATGCCTGTGCGAAATGGCAAGCAGGACCCAACAGTACTCTCCCCGTTGGTGATATCCTGCAGGGGCGCCAATTTGAATAAACTATGGGGGGCAGGTCCTAGCAACAGAGGTACCTAGAGCTGGTGAGATGGTTTATTCCCTACTCAATCCACTTTTTATCCCTAAAACAGTTCTGTGAGGTTGATTGTTTTCAAAAACAGCAGCTGGTCCAAGGCTATTCTGAACACAACTCTCTCCAAGCCCAAGTTTCTAGGCATCTGGTAGTCTCTCCCCCCCCCCCCCAACCCAAATCGACAAGTCCTTGCTGCAAAATTATGCATTTGCCTGCTTGGGCATATTTTTAGGACACCTTATTTCTGTGACAGTAGGCTTTAATTTAAATTGCTTTTAAACATTGTGATTTAATTGTTGTAAGGAGCTCTGGGTCCTTGGGGTAAAGGGTAGAAAGAAGAAGAGGAGGAGGAGGAGGAGGAGAGCTTTACCCTGTTCACTTATGGGGAGGGTAAATGGCGAAATGATAAATAAGAAATTATCTTGATGGTTTTTGCTCTCTTGCCATCCAGCAATCCTTTTACAAGTTCGTTTACAGGGCTTGTTGGGAAACAAAGTCTAAAAGTAGAATAGAAAGAAAGGCAGCAATGCCCATCAACTTTGGGTCCCTCCAGCCACCTCAAACATTTTAAGGGGTGGCAAAGGAACCTGAGTTCCAAGCAGCAGGTATTCAAAGGCTTGCTGCTTCTGATGGTGGAGGCAGAACATAATCATCATGGCAGGTAGACACTGATAGCCTTATCCTCTATGAATATGTCTAATCAGCTTTTAAAGCCATCTGAGTTGGTGCCCATCATTGTCTCTTGTGGGAGCGAATGAACTATGCATTTTTACCACATAAATTACGGTGATATTGAACACCCTGCAAGAATAGGTGGCCCTGAGCTATATTAAGAATCATCTGAGCTGGAGATACTCCATTATCCTAAAAAGAAATCTCACTATTTCTCTTCCCTTTGCCCACCTCTGGAAGCCTCCCCAAAAGCTGGAAAGGTGGGATGTTATTCCAAGTTAGACCACTGCTCTGTCTAGCTCAGTACTGCCTGCACTGACCGGCAGTGGCTCTTAGAGATTTTAGACTCAGGTCTTTCCCATTCCTACCTGAAGATGCCAGGGATTGAACCTGAGGCCTTCTGCATGCAAGGCAGGTGCTCTATCACCAGACTATGTCCTTTCCCCTTCTACTCCTCCTTCCCATGCATGCTGTGTCCCCAAATTAAGAGTCACACATATTGTTTTCTTACTTCCAGCCTGCAACTGCTCCCAGCTCGGTTCTGTCTCCCTCCAGTGCCATGACAACAGCACGTGTGTGTGCAAGCAAGGCTTTGTGGGGTACAAGTGTGACCAATGCAAAGTGAACCACTTCTATGACCCTGGGAGCAATGAGTGCCTGGAGTGTCCTATTTGCTACAGTCTCGTGAAGGAAGAGGTAAAACCCACCGCTTGCTTGCTTGCTTGCATCAGCCCGTCAGTCAGCCAATCAGCTAATCAGACATTTTAGTCAGATTTGCTAAATGTATAGTTAGCCAATTAACCCCATTAAAAACAAAAATACTTCCTTAATATATTTCTAGACTACTGTCCATCCCTTAAGATCCCTGGTATCAAAACAACAGCAATCATAAACCAGTTAATGCAACCAAACATGTAAATTAACAATTGTGATAACTGTATTTCTGTGGGCAAACAGAGCATTTCATTTTGAGCTGGTCTCACCAGCCATTCAACTCAGAACGCCCACCAAAGCCTGGCTGAACAGCTACGTCTTAAGGCAAAGGAAGGTGCCATGTAAACCTCCAAGTGGAGGGAGTTCCAGAAGTGGGGTGCCGCTGGTGAGAAGGTTCTATCCCATGTCACTATACAGTAGACCCAACACTCTTTAGCATATCTTAGGGCCTGTTCAGGTTGGCATAAGGAAAGATGCTTCTTCAGTTATTTGGGTCCCAGGTTTTTTAAGTACTTCATAAGTTAGCATCATTGGATCCAGTAGCATATATGCAATCAGTACAGCTCCTTTAAAATTGGTGTTGTATGGGTGAGATTGGCTACACCACTCGGCGCTCTAACAGTTGCAGCATCTGGACTGTCTTCAAGGGTAGCCAGCCCCATGTAGAATGCATTGCGGCAATCAAATTAGGGAGTTACTACATCATGAATTACTGTGGCTAGGCAGTAATATTTAAATTTAGATAATTTAGTCAAATTTATGGCTAGTCAACCAATGTTTTTGTTGATTTAGTTGCATTTATATACAAATATGAAGCAGAATCTGATTATGTGTGAGGCTAATTGGCCCCTGTGATATCGCCAAGAACCAGGAACATTTTAAAATTTTAATTGATAAATTTCTGGATTGAATACATGTATTCATTTCTAAGGCTGTGTTGTTGAGTGGTAGTTTCAAGTTTTACATTTTTGTATTGCCCTTTTTATCTTTCGTCATTTCTGAGTTTAAGACATTTTAGACAAGCATTTGCCCGGGAAAGTTGCCTAAACTTAATCAAATAAATTATTTTCTACCCTTTGCACTATACGACTGTCTTTTACTATCATGTCTGCATTTCTTCCCAAAAGCCATCTTGTTTCAGACTCATTTCCTCTGCAAGCAGCAAGTTGTGGAACCCAAGCTCAGGGTTGTACCCTGAGGCTGTCTTTTTGTATTATGTATGTCTTCCCTGGAAAGCCATCCCATATTGCTCTCTTTCTCCCTGCAGGCAGACAATTTGAAGGCCAAGTTGACAAAGATGGAGTCATGGTTGGAGAAACCAAATTGTGGCATGATGAGGGCACGTTATTATTCTGCCATGCTGCGGGACGCGCCACGGGGTGACACTCTCCACAGCCGTTACCTGTTGAAAGGTAAAGAGATTGGGTGGGTTGGAAAGGGGTCTTCCTTTTCTGTTGGAGCACAGGAAATATCTAGAAGGGACTTTCAGACCCACCAACAGAGAATCCTCCCAATTTTCATCAAACTAGCAACTCAAGAGTGTCCTAGGATTTGCCTCGAAAAAGGTCAAGTATATGGATGAATGGGTCATTCTGTGTCTTCTTCATGTGCATTTCACGTGTGTCCATCTTGTTCCACACCTTGCTCAAAAATGGGAGAGAAAAGGTGATTGGCAGGCCTACCGTCTAAAAGGCACAACAAAAAGGAAAAGGAATTGAGATTGAGGAAGACAACAACTGGCACTGATTTTTGGTTAAAAACAGTTATTTTCTTCTAGAAAAAGGGTTCTGGTACTCACCATGAAGTTGTTACAGTAAGTGCCACACTTTTAACCAGTGCTTTTCTTCTAGGAAAAAAAAGGTGCTGGTACTGTGTACCCTTGAGAGCCCCCTGAAAGAAGCACTGTTATAAAGTTCCCAGAAGTGTTCCTTCTGCCAGGAAGGAAGCAAACAAGCTCTAAGGAATGTAAGAAGCTACCTTGAGCCATTGGGCTGCCAAGCTCACTGTTGTCTACACTGGACAGCAGCAGCTGTCTCAGGTTTCAGGCAGCCCTACCTGGAGAAGCTGAGGATTGAACCTGGGGCCTTCTGCATGCAAGGCAGATGCTCACCCACTGAGCTACAGTCCTCCCCCAGCCCTTACAATACCCTGTAGCTGGTCATTCTTTCGCCAGTGGATACAGCCAGGTTAGTCTCTTCCTAGCCATGATGTTCTTTCTGCGAGGCAGAGAGTGCAGCTTCCCTTGGTTCTCTGGTCAATTGCAGAGGCTAAAACGTTGTACCCTCCTGCCCTGCACTCTATGCACAATACCTATGTACCTCTCCACTACAAAGGAGTTGATCAGAGAACACCCCCCCCCAAACATATCCCATAATTCTCCATATCCAGCTTTTCTCTGGCACAGCCCCAAGCATGTGAAGTAGCCATTGCAAAGAGCAATTTTTGTCCCCTGCAGGTGCCAAAGTGGCTTTCCTAGAAGAGCTTGCTGAGCTGGAGAGCCTAGTGCATGATGCAGAGAGCCGGCTGAGGAACACCAGTGAGATTATGGGCTGTGACAACCAGAGTGGCACCAAGGGCTGCCTCCTCCTCACTGACATCCTGCCCATCCTGCAGTCCACACAACAACAGATCCAGATGGCCACCGACACACTGGATGCCATGGTACCACACCGAGAGTGGAGCTGGCATGGCGCAGAATTCAAAAGCATCCATGGGCAAAGGCACAGCTCGCCAAGTGCCAGAGATCAGCTGATCACTGTGTGCTGAAGGCTGGTCCATTAGGGAGAACAGGGCACTGCCCCACCAACCTCAGTCTGCCCTTTTCCATCCCTGCCCTTCCTGCCTTCTTCCTTACAACCAGTTCAGAGGGAGGCCATGCCTGTCAGCTTTCTCCTCCTTAGTATCAGTGTTGCCCTTAGAGAAAATAGCAGGGTGATAGGGACAAAACTAGAATGAGTTGGCTCCGCCTCTCATTGTCTCTGACTCTGCTTCCTGTTCCAGCCCACCAGCACCACTGACCACCAGATACCACTGTATCTGGAACTCGTAGAGCACTGTCCGCTGGGCTTCACAGATCCTGACAATTGGCTGATAGTCAGCTTATGAAGCCTGATATACAGCTACGTCTTTATCTGCTGCACGCTTGGCATCATATCAGAAGGTGGTGTAGAGCAGGTGACCTTGGCCAGAATGGCCTGGCAGGCCAAATGGGCAATCTGGCAGGCTTAATCAGGCCCCTGAGCCAGAGGTTCCCCATTGATGCTCTAGCCCCACATCTTGTGTTTATGGGAAGCTTGCAAGGAGTATATTATTTTCAGAAGTGTATTGCCAGAGAAGAGAGTTTTCTCCAGAAAAACAGAGGATTTTCCCTCCTTCCCTTAAAGGAGTTTCCTGCTGAGATGTCGCACCAGCCCACCAACTGGACCCACCAGGCACAGGAGTCTAGAGTGCTGGCCCAGAGGTATGTTTCACATATTCACAATTGAATATATAAGTTCCAACTTAGAATGGACTAATGTGTTCACTGATTTCAGTAGGGCGGCCCAGAGTGCGATGAAGGCTGCGTACACACCATATGTTTAAAGCACATTCCTCTGCCCCCCAAAATCCTGAGTACTGTAGTTCACCCAATTAATCAACTAGTAGCAATTGGACAGGGACACGTGGGTTAAACCACTGAGCCTAGGACTTGCTGATCAGAAGGTCGGCGGTTCGAATCCCTGCGACGGGGTGAGCTCCCGTTGCTCGGTCCCTGCTCCTGCCATCCTAGCAGTTTGAAAGCACGTCAAAGTGCAAGTAGATAAATAGGTACCGCTCCAGCGGGAAGGTAAACGGCGTTTCCGTGCGCTGCTCTGGTTTGTTAGAAGCTGCTTAGTCATGCTGGCCACATGACCCGGAACCTGTACGCCGGCTCCCTCGGCCAATAAAGCGAGATGAGCGCTGCAACCCCAGAGTCGGCCACGACTGGACAAAATGGTCAGGGGTCCCCTTTACCCTTTACCTAGCGATTGGACTGGTGAGATTGCCAGCAATGCCAAAGTCACTCTGTTTTCTCTCTTCTCTCCACAGCCATATGGAGGCTGCAGCCTTGGTGGAGGACACTGCCCAAAAGGCCATGCTCCTGTCCAAGAACAGCTACCACCTTCTACAGAGTATCATAGAGGACAATGCAAACCTGGAGTTTAGGGGACAGATGGAAGAGAGGTGAGCTCTTGGGGATGTAGTCCAGCATTCTTTTTCCACAGTGGCCAAGTGGGTGCCCAAATGCAAAGCCTGTAAGCATCTGCAGTTATCATATTGTTGACCCTGAGTTACACTGTTCTCAGTTCTAGAGGGCAGGAGAAACATATATACAGTATTAGAAACATCTTAATTATTAGCCAATCAGTTCTATCCGCAGCCATTTTTTCCTGCGAGCATGCAGACAAGAGTTCTCTGCCCCTCAACAAACCTTAACCTCAGAGAGGAACAGATATGTTTAGACTGAAGGCAATGAGGATGTTTTCAGTCCAGCTCATCTGCTCCACAAATGTTATGGCCATCTTCATAAGCATATGATTAACATCATATGAGGGACCATCATAATTTGCTTCAAGTTTTGATCTAGGCAAAATGAGGTGCAAAAAGAAAAGAAAAACCCAGCTCCTTAATTGTTTTGCTAGTATTTTCCTCTTTGATGTCAGCTTTAAATTTTGATTTCAGTGACTCTGAAGTAATGACTGGGAGTTTTGAGTCAGCAAAAATGTCCCCTGGTCTTTCTCAGGAACTTCCATTCCCAGACCATGTGATTGTGTATCCTGCATCAATTTTCTATTTCTTTTGTTGCCCTATTGGCTCACAGTTTCCTTTGGCATCTTCTCACAGCTACCAGAGAATCCAAAAGGCACAGGAGGAGCTTGGCTTCCGGATGGAAGAGGCTACAGCCAAAGCTGAGGAGACTTTTGCTTCAGTCCATCAGGGCAGCATGGCAAAGAACCTCACGCAGATCAGTGTCATAGAGCTGGTGAGAAGTGGGGAATAAATGTGCACTAAATACACCCCCTGCCCCTTTTCACAGGACCATGTCACATAAAAAGGGAGGGAGGTATGCCATGGGTTGTGGCCAATAGCAGTCCTACACAAAGTAGACCCATTGAAACCAATGGACATGACTTATTCCTATTAGTTTCAATAGATTTACTCTGAATAGGAGCTAGCTGAATGCAACCCAGTGACTTTGGGGTATGGGGGTGAACTTTAAGAATCTGGGGAATGGCTCTTACCTTTAAAAATGAGGTGGCAAAGGCTTTTTTCTCCCCCACATCCCTCATTCTTGTGAGGAGTCTATTTGGCTGTTATTGGCTGACACATTTTCCAATTTAATTATAGTTTCCCCTGGAAACTTTACTAGTACCCAGGTAGAAAACTGTTGTTCACTGATTGCTTTTTATAATCTCCCATTGCTGTTTTACTAAGGGTATCATACCATTTTTACTAATTTGGTTTTATTCTATGGGGCTTTTCGTTTCATTTTTGTATTGCCAGTTTGAAAGCCACTGAGTGGTGGCAATGCTGTAATGACAACAACAAACCATCTTGCTTGGGTCAGATCACTTACCGTATTTTTTGCTCTATAAGACTCACTTTTCCCCTCCTAAAAAGTAAGGGGAAATGTGTGTGCGTCTTATGGAGCGAATGCAGGCTGCGCAGCTATCCCAGAAGTCAGAACAGCAAGAGGAATTGCTGCTTTCACTGCGCAGTGATCCCTCTTGCTGTTCTGGCTTCTGAGATTCAGAATAATTTTTTTCTTGTTTTCCTCCTCCAAAAACTAGGTGCGTCTTGTGGTCTGGTGCGTCTTATAGAGCGAAAAATACGGTAATAGAAATTAAACTTCTTCCGGCGTTTCCTCCTACAGCGCCCCTTGGTTCAGCAGGCTGAAAATCTTACTCATTGTGCCAATGAACTGGAGCACCTGGCAGAACAGAATAAACACCTGGTGGCCAACGGATCTCTTATTGTAGAGGCCAAACTGGAGGGCGTGGCTCAGAGGATGAAGGAGTTGGAACAAGTGAGTTACTCTCTGCTTGGGGCTACATCTCATTTCTAACCAGGACAATTTGCACTGGCAGGAATGACACAATTCCTTTTCTTCTTCTGGCTGAGTGCTGTTGTTTGCATTGACCAAATGGCAACACTTGTCCACAAGAGGGTGCTGCTATACAATCCTAAAAAGTACAAAATCCCTCTCAGTGTTCTGGCTGAGCGCTGCTGCTTACATTGAGAAAATAGCAACATGTGTCCACAAGAGGGTGCCATTCACTCCTGAGATTACAAAAACAAATCTTATAACAAAGCATCAAAATAAATTGAGAGATTAAAATGCAATCAAACTGGCTTTAAAAGAGGATTAGACAAATTCATGGAGGATGAAGCCTTTCAATATCAACTAGCCATGATGAAAATACTCTGCCTCCATGGCTGGAGGCAATACTGCTTTTGAATACCAGTTACTGGAAATCACAGGAGTGGAGAGGGCTCTTGTAGTCAGGTGCTGCTCGTGGGTGGGTTTCCCACAGGTGTCCGGTTTGCCACTGTGAGACCAGGATGCTGGGCTAGATGGGCTGCTGGCCTGATCCAGCAGGGCTCTTCTTGCATGCTTATGTTAGCATAATAATAATAATTTATTATTTATACCCCGCCCATCTGGCTGAGCTTCCCCAGCCACTCTGGGTGGCTTCCAATCGAGTGTTAAGAACAATACAGCATTAAATATTAAAAACGTCCCTAAACAAGACCGCCTTCAGTTGTCTTTTAAAAGTAAAATAGTTGCTCATTGCCTTATTGCCTTGACATCTGCTGGGAGAGCATTCCACAGGGCGGGCGCCACTACCAAGAAGGCCCTCTGCCTGGTTCCCTGTAGCTTTGCTTCTCGCAATGAGGGAACCACCAGAAGGCCCTCGGCACTGGACCTCAGTGTCCGGGCAGAATGATGGGGGTGGAGACACTCCTTCAGGTATACAGGACCGAGGCTGTTTAGCATAACTACAATATATCATAAAATTATATGTACTACCAGGGCTGCTGCACCAAACAGCTCTGCAGGCCTTTGGGAGGCAGAAGTGCAAGAGGGCATCAAAGGAGGGATGGAAGGAAAGAGGGACAGAGGCCAGTGCTGCCCACAACACCCCTGACCATCACTCAAGGCATCCCATGGTGCCACATCACACTAGCTGAAAACCACTAAGCTAATGAATAAATAATAATCATGCACAGAAAAGCTTTCTTTCTTACTTACTTTATATACTACCTTTCCCTCCAAGGAGCTCAAGGTGGTATACATGGTTCTCCCCATTTTATCCTCACAGCAACCCTGTGAGGTATGGTAGGTAATGGTAAAAGACCCGTGGATGGTTAGGTCCAGTCTAAGGCAACTATGGGGTGTGTCACTCATCTTGCTTTTCAGGCCAAGGGAGCCGGCGTTTGTCCACAGAAAGCTTTCCAGGTCATGTGGCCAGCATGACTAAACTACTACTGGTGCACGGAGGACCGTGACAAGTGCCAGAGCACCTGGAAATGCCGTTTACCTTCCCACGCAGCAGTACCTATTTATCTACTTGCACTGGTATGTTTTCAAACTGCTAGGTTGGCAGAAAGTTAGACTGAGAGGCAGTTACTGGCCCAAGGTAATATTCATGGCTGTGTTGGAATTCAAACCCCGGTCTCCCTCGTCCCAGGCCAGTGCTCTAACCATTACACCTCCCTGTCTCTCAACAGAATAAAAACAACCAAATAGCAGCAGGAAAAAATAAGACAGTAATGATGTTAGTAACGGGTATATTGCTCTGAGCTGCTTTTCTTAGGCAAGTGGAAAACAAAGGAGGTCATCTGCCATGAGCAGCCCCAAAAGTGACATTGGCAAACCTAACCCATTTAATGATATTGAGCCAATGGGTAAAGCCAATCATACTGAATCCTGAAAATGACCCTTGGTTTCCCTCTCTCCCAGCTTGACTGAGAATGCTTTAGGATCAATGCCAAAATACTGACCTCATACGATTTTCCAGGACCCTCAGTACATAGCTAAAACAAACCTTGAGGAATATTTATACAAATGAATGAGTTGGAGGAGTTGTTTTCTGGTTGCAGAACATGGCTTCAACACTAATCCATTTTGCAGGCTGAGCCTCTTGGGCTTGCTGATCGAAAGGTCGGTGGTTTGAATCCCCGCAACGGGGTGAGCTCCCGTTGCTTGGTCCCTGCTCCTGCCAACCTAGCAGTTCGAAAGCACGTCAAAGTGCAAGTAGATAAATAGGTACCGCTCTGGCAGGAAGGTAAACGGCATTTCTGTGCACTGCTCTGATTTCACCAGAAGTGGCTTAGTCATGCTGGCCACATGACCCGGAAAAACTGTCTGCGGAAGCAGACAAACGTTGGCTCCCTTGGCCAGTAAAGCGAGATGAGCGCCACAACCCCAGAGTCGTTTGTGACTGGACTTAATGGTCAGGGGTCCTTTACCTTTACCTATGCCTACAGGAACACGTGTGAAGCCCTTCCTCAGTTGAGGCTTCCACGGTGAATGGAGAGCTCCCAGTGCACACGGTTCAAATCACCTGCATTTATAAAAAAATATTGCTGGATCACTGTGAATGTATTTTGGAGCTACTATTACAGTTGTAGCCCAGCCCCTCTCTCTCTCTCTCTCTCTCTCTCTCTCTCTCTCACACACACACACACACACACACATACTTTTAAGAGAATTTCTTTAAGAGCAGACTTACGGATGTTTTCTATCTCCCCTTTCTTGCTTTGATAACAAGATTGGGTAGTGCTTTTCTTAGGTACATGGCATGTTTCTGCCAAACTTAGGGACTCTCTTTTTAAAAAATAATGGTGCATTTAAACAAAATCTAGGTTGCCTCCAACACTGTGCATGGAAATGGTTGGTCTTTTAGTGTGACACCACCTACACTTTGGAACTCCCTGCTGATTGACAGAAGGCGGGTACCTTTGCTGTACAGTACTTACTTTGGTACTGCTTAAAACATTTTTGTTTAATCAAGGCTGTCCAGGTCAAGCCAATTTGTGTTTTAATCTTTTAATCCTTACTGTTGTTTTTAATTATATTGTGAATGTTTTTATTTTTTAAAAAAAGATATTTATTAAAATTTTCAAAATATTACAAAATGAAAAAAGAAAAATACAAAATAAAAGTAGTTAAAAACAACTCAATCTTTCCGTTACTTACCTTTCATTGGCTTGTTTCCCGGACCTCCTCGCGCCTCCCTTTTTTGTATTCCAATTCCGTTTGTTAGTTCAGCAAATCCTTCCCCTCTTTGTTTATCCTAGTCTTTAATCTTAAAATATTATGACATTGAATTTTAACCTATTAATAATCCATTTTTCATATTCCCTTATAATATTACAGCTAAAAATCACTTAATTTCTATCCAACATCATTCTAACATTCATTAATTTTGCAATATTTCTGTAGATAGTCTTTAAACTTTTTCCAATCTTCTTCCACCGACTCTTCTCCCTGGTCTCGGATTCTGCCAGTCATTTCCGCCAATTCCATATAGTCCATCACCTTCATCTGCCATTCTTCCAGGGTGGGTAGATCTTGTGTCTTCCAATACTTTGCAATAAGTATTCTTGCTGCTGTTGTGGCATACATAAAGAAAGTTCTATCCTTCTTTGACACCAATTGGCCGACTATGCCCAGGAGAAAGGCCTCTGGTTTCTTCAGGAAGGTATATTTAAATATCTTTATCAATTCATTATAAATCATCTCCCAGAAAGCCTTAATCCTTGGGCACGTCCACCAAAGGTGAAAGAATGTACCTTCAGTTTCTTTACATTTCCAACATTAATATCGGGCAGATGATAGATTTTTGCAAGCTTGACTGGTGTCATGTACCACCTGTATATCATTTTCATAATATTCTCTCTTAAGGCATTACATGCCGTAAACTTCATACCTGTGGTCCATAACTGTTCCCAGTCAGCCATCATTATGTTATATCCAACGTCTTGTGCCCATTTAATCATAGCAGATTTCATCGTTTCATCCTGAGTATTCCATTTCAACAGCAAGTTATACATCTTTGATAAAGTCTTAGTTTTGGGTTCTAACAGTTCTGTTTCTAATTTTGATTTTTCCACCTGGAAGCCAATTTTCTTGTCCGAATTATATGCCTCCATTATCTGATAATAATGAAGCCAATCTCCCACTTTATTTTTTAGTTTCTCAAAACTCTGCAGTTTCAATCTGTCTCCCTCTTGTTCCAGAATTTCCCAATATTTCGGCCATTTGGCCTCCATATTGAGCTTTTTCAGTGCTTTCGCTTCCATCGGTGACAACCATCTTGGGGTTTTATTTTCAAGTAAATCCTTATATCTTATCCAGATATTAAACAATGCTTTCCTGACAATATGGTTTTTGAATGCTTTATGTGCTTTGACCTTGTCATACCATAAATATGCATGCCATCCAAATACATTATTAAAACCTTCTAAGTCCAAGATGTCTGTGTTTTCAAGAAGCAGCCATTATTTCAACCAGCAAAAGGCTGCTGATTCATAATAAAGTTTAAGGTCTGGCAGGGCAAATCCGCCTCTTTCGTTTGCATCCGTTAATATTTTAAATTTTATTCTAGGCTTCTATCTTGTGAATGTTTTTAATACCTATTTTTAAGTGTGTTTTATTAATAGCTTTAAAGTTTTATTTTTTGTGTGTGGCTCATTAGAGGTTTTATTATAATTAAACAGAATATAAACCTTGTGAAATAAACAAATAGGCAAAACAGGTGGGGGTAGAAAACCCTGATCATTTTTGTTTTTTGTAGCTATGGCAAAGGACAAATGACGCCCACACACAGGCATCCTCATCGCTCTCAAAGGGGGAGGCTGTGCTCTCCGAAACAAAGACCTTGTTGGCTACCTTGGATGGTAAGAAAAGAGTGCCTGATCAATTACCTCCATGATGAGTAGGCTACCTTGATTTATATCTAGATCAGCCTTGGCCAACCTAGAACCCTCCATATGTTTTTGGACTGCAACTCCCATTGGCCCCTGAGAGGACAGCGATATCATAGAATCATAGAGCTGGAAGGAACCATGAGAGTCATCTAGTCCAACCCCCTGCAATGCAGGAATCTCAGCTAAAGCATCCATGACAGATGGCCATCCAACCTCCACTTAAAAACCTCCAAGGAAGGAAAGTCCAACACCTCTCATGGGAGTCTGTTCCATTATTGAACAAGTTCTTCCAGATGTTTAGTCGGAATCTCCTTTCTTGTAAATTGAAGCCATTGGTTCAAGTCCTACCCTCCAGAGCAGGAGAAAACAAGCTTGCTACATCTTCCATATGACAGCCCCTTAGGATACTTTTGTTATCCAACGGTATTTCGCTTTCCATTCTTGAGTTGGGAATAGAGTAGTTGTTTTAGAAGACAATAATCAGACATCCTGACAACATGACCAGTCCAACAAAGTTGATGTTGAAGAACATTAAACTGTCTGTGTAGCAGTTACACAAATGCATGCTTACTGTTCCGTAAAGGTAGATCTTAATTCTTATCACCCACAGAAAGGGGTTGACCCTTCTATCTCCCACCTGGAAGCTTCCCTTTCTTCTCCCAGCCTCCCACCCTGGGAGAACTTCCCCTTCCTGCCTCTCACACAGGGTCCTTCACCAACTAGCCATCACCTTCATTTGCATATAGTGCCCTCATTGACTCATAAAAAAAACAGAAGCAAAAACAAAGAAAAGAAAGAAAAAGAAACAGGAAGATAAAAATAATACAAGAGTGAGAAAAGAAAGGGAGGGAGAGAGAGAGAGAGAGAGAGAGAGAGAGAAAGCACTTATTCTCAATCAGGATAGATAGATAGATAGATAGATAGATAGATAGATTCAACGTATTCAGTCCAGAATGATATCCAGCTATTCCTCCTTCTACTAGGCAATATTTTTCCAGTCATCATACCCAGACGCCTCAAGTCAATTCCTGTTCCCTTCCACACAAAAAGTTTAAAAGGGGTTCTCCTGTTGCTGTTGTTGTTGTTGTTGTTGTTGTTGTTGTTAATAAGTGCCAACAATAGTCTTCCTCCAGTCCAGCATAACAACTTTACCTCCAAAAACTTTAGCAACACTTCATGTTGAGAAACAATAAATCCTTCATCTTTATTCATACAGGAGTCTCTCCACTATGGTCATATATTAAAACAGTAATCTATAGTTATTTGCTTATTGTATATTCATAAATTCAAGCCCAGTTCAATATATTCCATTCCCATTTCCCATTGGCTGCAATTTCCATCCTAAGTTTAGCAAAAGGGGGGGAAAAGATCCTTCCATTTTAGCTTCTTCAAACCATAGTCTCCCAGGTCTGATGCGCTAACCATTACACCACACTAGATCTCAATATCATAATCAGGATAACCAAGCTCTTTACTCCCTTGCCATCAGGGATGAAGAGGTTGGGTGCACGTCACACGCGCCAGTCTGCCACAAACAGGAAAATGACAGTTGTGCGGGATCGGGCAATAGCAGAGGCCCAGAAGAAGACCAGACAAGCTCAGAAGATTCTGGGAGATTCCTTTTCAGTCTCTGCTGAGGCCCAGAAAACTGCCAACAATGCAGAGTTAGTCGCAAAGGAAGGCGCTAAGGTATGAACAGCCCACACCTGTGAAGCTTAAGGCCTACTGTTAAGTTCAGCCCACTTCTCCTGAGGGGTGAGGTCCTCTAGAGGAGCACAGGGCTTGCCTGGGTTTGGTTTCCTTTGGAAGGAGTTCCCTGGGGGTTTCTTAGTGCCTCATATTATTTGTGTTCATTTACAAACACACAGGTTGAGCATAGAGGCTGCAGCAGCCCACAGCACCCAGTAGACTTCAGGGCTGAATGGGGATTTGAACCCTTAGGTCCTAGCATGATGCTCTTAACCATGACACCACCCTAGCTTGACCCTGCCTGCTATTTCTTTTAGATTTCCCACCCTCTAATGGCCCTCCACAGCAACCCATCCTCCTCACCTGTTTTTGTCATCCTCTTCAACAGAAGGCGCAGGACACACTCAGAGAAGCAAAGAGGGAGAAAAAGCGTGTGGATAAACTTAAGGCACGTGTTGCTTTGACCGTGGCAGAAGCCTCCAGGCAGAAGCGCGAGTCTGAAGAACATGGCAATGACCTCGCTGGACCTGGACAAGTCAGTGATGGTTTGGATTCATTAGCTGGAGGGGGTGCACTGCTAGGGTTGTTGAAGGACCATAGCTCAGGGGCAGAGGATCTCCTTTACATGCAGAATCCCCAGCATGTCCAGGCAGGGCTGGGAATGTCCCCTGTCTGAAAGCCTGGAGAGCCACTGCCAGTCAGTGTCGGCTATACTAAGCTAGATGGACCCCAGTAGTCTATGACTTAGTATAGGGCAGCTTCCTGAGTTTCCTGTGGTATCCCTTTTTAAAGAACATGACTCCACTTTCCATAAATCTTTGGTTTACTCTGAATATTGTTTGTTTGCGCCAGGGATGAGGAACCTTTTCAAGCCCAAGGGCTGCCTTCCTTCATGTGCAGCCTTTCAGGGGCCGAATGCTGATGGTGGATGTGGTGGGTGTGGGAAAGCAAGAGGCATCATTGCAGTTCAAGGACACGTGAAATCATTAGAGGAAGGTGCAGAGTAGGGCCCGTGAGAGGTGTGGCCTGGGCACAGTCCCAATGGCCAGATAGGGAAGCCTGGGGGGTCCACTTTCGCCCCCTGGCTCTGAGGTTCCCCATTTTACAACATGTGCTCCATGTCTTACGTTGATATATCTCTAGAGCCATATCCATGGACTGATCACCTATTTCAGGGTGGGGGCACCTTTTGCAACCCAAGGGCTGCACTCCTTTGTGGGGAACTTTCGTGGGTGGGGGCCTACATGCCAGTGGCGGATGTGGCCAGAGGCAAAACTGGGCAGAGCCATGGATGTGACCTGTTCCTTTGTCAGGAGATTACATACTAGCCATCCAAAAACCAGAGGTTTGGACACACACACCATACATCTTTCCAACCAGGCAAGCGAGAGGCATGACCACAGTTTAAGGATGCATTCCAGGGAGGCAAAAGCACTTGGAGAGGTTGCAGAGAATGCCTGGAGATGGGTGTGCGGCAAGGAGAGCAGGGCAGGGCCTCAGGAGAGCCCCAAGAGCTGGATAGGGACAGGCCTAGAGGGTTGCTTTTGTCCTCTGGGTCCAAGATTCCCCACTGTTGCGCGTGTCAAGGGGTTAAAAGATACCTTTGTGGTCCCTGCCAATCCTACAATTCTAACGCACAGACAATCTCATCGGAAGGTTGCAGCGGAGATGAACGATCTTGAGAAGAGCCTCCGAAATGCCCAGGGCTCCTTGGAGATGGACATTGCGACGCTGAACAGCCTACTCACCAGTCTCGGTGAGCAACCAACACCACTTGGCTGTTTTTATTTCCATTGAGTGTGGTGTGAGAATAGTTGGTTGCAAGCAATTCAAGGAAGCGCAATGAACCTCATAAGTCCAGAGAACAAGGCCGGCCCTGTTGTTAGGCAGAATGAAATGAGTGCATCAAGCGGCTGATGGGAATGGCAAAGAGCAGCAGTGAATGGCAGAGCTGTGTGTGGCCTGTGGCCTGCCCTGGCTTTGTCCTTTTGCAGGTGCAGTTTGGATTCAAACTGCTTCTCCAAAGGTGCTCACTGTCTATGTTGAGCTTTATAACGTCAGGTGATTGACAGGTCGGCAGCCCCACCCACCTGCCATAGTTGGTTTACAGGGTGTGTGTAGGAGAATGAAAGATCTGGCATGCCCGTCAGATCCAATTCCTTGCTCCTGCAGTAGCATCCTGGGCACACCTGTGATGCAGCTGAAAGCTCAGCACTTCCTGTGCCAACCACAAGAGGGCAGCCTTTCCTTTAAAACTGGTCACCTTCTTTTCATAATGGTTTCTAAGAACTACAGTGAGCTTTAATCCTAATGTTGCAATCAATAGCCTTTGGGGATTAATGAGTGTTTGCCAAATGTTGTGCCTTGAACAAAAGCCTGGCAGGTAAAAATTAAGCAGGCAGACTTATCCCCTGCCACCAGGTCCATGACGGGCAAAGCTTTCTGCTCGCAAGGCTGTGTTAAGGGCTCTGAGGGATATCTCAGTCAGTAGAGCATGAGACTCTTAATTTCAGGCAAAAGATTCCTGCATCACAGGGGGTTGGACTAGATGACCCTTGGGGGTCCCTTCCAACTCTACAATTTTATGAGCCTATGAGACAGAAGAAATCGGGGACTCTAAGATGATACCTGAGCCTTACTTAAAGCTGCAGTATATTTTACAGATATATTATTAGGAACACCCTCCAATGCTAAGTCAGTTGAGCAAAGTGTATGGAAAGGTGCCCAGCTTTTATGTTTGGGAGGTGTTTTTTTAATCCTTTAGAAAACACATAAACTGCTTGATCAAAAAGGTTCTCCAAATAAAATTGGTGCAAAACACAGATAAACTCAGCAGTCCAATGAAAGACAAACATACCTGAAACCATCATCATTGAAACAAATATATTTTAAAGACCCAAATCTATGGAGAGCCATCATCATTAAAATCAAAGATAAAAACGAATAAAGCTTTTAAAACACCTAGAGGTATCTAGATTGCATATCTAGGTACAAAAAAAGTTTTCAGCAAGTGTCTACAAAAATATAGTTAGGGGGTATCTGTCTATTGTCAAACTGGGAATTTTAGGAACAAGGCAGAAGTTGCAGGAGTCCAACTAAGTCTGAGGTCTTATCCACACTTACCTTTTGCCTCACTCTTTCTAGGCACAGTTCTGCGCTCAAAAGCTCTGTTTCTTGTGGGTTCCCCATCCCCCCCCCCCCCGTGGATTGCCATTTGCTCCACTTTACCTTTAAGGAGTGGATTTTTGCAGGGAAAGCTCTGGAGCAGGATGGGCAGCACTCAGAGCAAAGCACACTCTGTGCCTGGAAAGAACAGAGGAAAGTTAAGTGTGGATAAGCCTTTACTCAGAGTAAGCCCATTGAAAACTAATGGACCAAAGTCAGTCATGTCCATGAACTACAGTGGGTCCACTCTGTGTAGGACTAACTTTAGATATGACCCTGCTTTAAGGAACTTCAAGGGAAAGAGAGTTCATGAATAGAGGTTTCATTTATACCTCTTGCTAGGATTGCTTCCTGAGAGGGGAAGCTTTGTGCCTTTTAAGTAGCTGCAATCGCTGGCAGAGGTTCACCAGGTCCCATCAGCACATTCTCAGGAGCTCTTGTCAGAAAAAGACGCAGAGAACCACACTATTGCAGGGTAAGGGGTGGTGAAGGTGAACCAAACAGTTTAAAACAAATGGGCTTTCATTTGTAAAGTGTGTATTGGGGGGGGGGGGTTGCATCCATAGTGGTGCTCAGTCACAGTTCTGCCAGTACAAAGATTTATGTTTGTACAACAGGACTTTCCCCTCTGCTCCCCCTCCCCACGCATCCTCTACTAAACTTGTTCCAGGGGTTTCCCCAACCCTCTGAAGATAGGGAGGAGAGGGTGCAGGATGTGTGTGGGGAGTGGGGGAAAGCCCCATGGTGTAAGTGGAAATCTTCACACTAGCAGGACACATTAATTGGATACCCCGCTTTATGCTCAGGGAATATGTTTCTTTCCTGTCTATTATGATGCTTTAAATGTGGATCTTCTTGCATTTTTCTATTTGATCTTCAGCAGCAATGTTTCATTTTTATATTTGGCCATGTTTTATTTTAGCATATTATAAGATTTTAGTTGATGTTTTAAAGTAGTAAACTACTTGGGGTGGGGGCAGAGAATGTGAAGTGGTATAGAAATGATTGAAATAAATAATAATACATAAATGTGTTTCTCTTTCCTATCCCCACCCCTTAACCCATTCCCTGGCCAGGCAACATAGATCACAGTGCTCTGTCAGAAGCTGCACTGAACTTGAGCCAAACCCAGCTGGAGCACTTGCAGTCAAACCTGGCGGGATCTGGTGCCCTGGGCCAGCAGCTGAGTACCTTGCAGCATGAGGCTGAAACCCAGAGGGAGAGGATCGAGGCCTTCGAGAGGGACTTGGCGGAGATCCAGAGCGACAAGCAGAACCTGGAATCCATCCTCCAGAGCCTGCCCAGCAGCTGCTCCAGCAGGAAGTGACACGGTCTCCTTAAACGTGCTCCAGAGCACCATCCCTGGCAGCGCAAGGAACTGAAGGCTTAAGGAACATGGCGCGGAGGGAGGGAAAGATGCATGAAGGTCCATACCATGGAGAAAATGTCAGGATGTAAGAGGGATTTGATTCAGTTCACAGTTAAAGGCAAATCTACCCCACTGAGCTTTCTGAAACAATATGCAAACTGAAACACAGCCACCCTTCCAAAATTCACACTTCTCCAAGCTTTGCAGTGCAGTTCTCCAGCCAAGTAATGTGTACAGAAATGCACAAGTATGGGAGTAAAGTGTGCCTAGGAATGCATGTACAGTAGTACCCCCAGTTACGTAACCCTCTGGTTTCGTAAACTTCGGGATGCGAAAGCGGCAAACCCAGAAGTATTTGCCCAGGTTTTGCCGCACGCACGTGTGCAGAAATGGTCCTCAGGTTGCAGAAACTTTGGGATCCTACCGGACCTCTGGAACGGATCCCGTCCGCAACCAGAGGTACCACTGTATTGGTGAAAATAACATACAGCAATGCATTGTATTAGGGAAGATTAGTTTGCAAAAATGTGCATGTTAGGGAGAAATTTGTACTAAAATGCCAATGAGCTTTTCACAAGGACTTTAAAATAAATTGCAGACTGGTGTGGAAATGCGGAGAACTGAACTGGAAGAAAGAGAAAGGGAGAAAATCCAAAATTGCCAGATCCGTCCATTTCCTAAGGAGATGTTCCCATGGACAGACATTGACAAATGAGTCTAAGGGGGGGGGGGGGGCAGAACAGAATGTTATGTAAGTTTAACAGTGTACAGATGATAGCGTTGAACACTGCAAATAGTATTCAAATTCTTTTATGAATTTCACCATTGTCCAGTCATTGTCCTTATAGTTGGTATGGTTTTTTTGCAGCAATAAGTAAAACCTTAAACAAAATATAAAAAGTTTAAATCCTCAGGAAGACAAGTTCAGTGGTGTTTCTGTACATCATTTCTGGGACTCTGCCATTGTCTTAGGTCAAAACCAGTTTTGCATGTCTTTATAGAGCTTCAGACTGTGTTGTGGAAAAGCCAAAAACTAATGCCCTATAAATGCGATAAACACTTTTGTCATTAAATGGTGGACATCTAATGGATGGCACACATGGCAGATAGTACAATTTCTTCCAGTTCCTATGCTTGCAGTTTTGGAGCTGTTTTTACAGATTTTCACTCTTTTCCTCCCTACCCTCTGCCTCAAAACATGTAGCCCTTAAAAAGGGAGTAAAAATGTGCAATTTCCCATAGCCATGGAATTGACTGAAACAGAAGTCGCGTGATTGACTGAACCTAAATATGCCATGCAACCTGGTCTAGTTTATTTCCACTGCTCCATTGATTTAGAGTTGGGGTGTGGAGGAAGCAGCTGCAATAAAGAAGGATGGGGAGAACCCTCTTCAGCAAGTCTTCTTCCCTTTCTTCCCATTACCTTGTCAAAATATCAGTTCCTTAGATCAGAGCTAATGACACAGAAGTGGTGAAAAAGAAGATTCACCCATTGCTTGGCGGAAATAACTGTCTGTAAACAGCCTCTGCCAATCCTTTTCCACCCAACAGTTCACTTCGCCACAGAATTTCTGCCTGCAATGGAGGCTGGCTATTTGGGTGAATGGGACTCTGCCCAACCAACCTCAGTCGGCTCCCCACCAGACCTCACTTGGCTGCATTTTTCCTTGCCTCCAATCCAGCAGTTGGCTCTTCCTGTTTTGGGTTTCTCTTCAGTTTCAGTGTTGCCCTTGTATAATTCTGCAGGGAGAAAGATGAGGGAAGTACTAGAATTAGCTGGCTCTGTCTGTTATTGACTCTGGCTCCACCTTGTGTTGGGCTCCCTGCGTTCTGCCCTAGCAGTTGCAGTGGGCACCAGCCACCATTTCTTCTCTCTGACCTTTTACCTGAGGACTCAGTAGTCTGACTATAATGCCAGCCTTTGCAGTCCACAGATGACAATGGGCCATCAAATGGGTTTCAAACAGGTGCTTTTATTCCAACTAATTTCTTTCAAATGGAAAGCCTTTGTAAATACATCATTTGGAAGATTCTTGTCTTGGTTTTAAAAATAGAGGACTTGATGTTTATATGGCTGTGTGCTGTGTGAATGTTTTCAACGGATTTCTTTAAATCCCAGTTCACTTATGTCAGGGAACTGACATCAGAGCGAGAGGCGAAGGGGAGGCTCCTGGATGATGCTGGAGAAGGACCCAGCAGCAGGGGGAGAGGCGACTCAGTGGAGGGGGAAGCATTTAAGCGCAACACCAGGAACAAAAGTGAGCAGATGGGAAAATCGGAGAGAGGGCTCACGGACTCTTCACTGGAACTCAGTGAGGAGGGGACAGGTCCCCGCTACCCACGCCCACCCTGCGCAGAAGGCTCCCGCGCAGTGAGAGGCGGAGGCGATTGGGTGTCAAACAGCTCTTATGTTGGAAGAGATTCAAGAAACGCCCACTGACGGATTCTGCTAGTGACTGAGACAGTCCTGATCAGAAGGGGCTGTGCAGTCAGAAAGGTTTAACAAGGCAAATCAGCCTAGAGAGGCACCAGTTTACGCACGAGTAACTCATACTCATTACAGCAATCCGTCAGTCGCTGAAAGTTGCTCGTGCGCAGCAGCAGGCAGGCAGCATCATGAGCAAGCCCGGAGAAGCAGGCACCCAAGGGGGAGCAGCTGGAGGGCAAACGCTGGAGGAGAGGAACCGAGATTTGGAGCAGCATGTGGCCATTCTGACGGCACGGCTGGACGAAAGGCGGTCTCAAGATGCACAGGTCAGACCCACCCCCATAGCAAGGAAGGTACCGGGACTGGTGCACAAGTTTGGGGGGAAGCCGCAAGAATACAGTGCGTTTAGAACGGAAATAGAGTACGCATTGGACTTGCAGCATAACGATTTTGAAGACGACGCGGCGCGGGTGGCATATGTTGTGGGTCACCTGCAGGACGGGGCCAGAGAATGGGTCAGACCCCTTATGGCGACGCAGAATTCCGCCATGCAGGACCTGAGGAAATTCTTCCAAGCGATGGACGCGATGTTTTCCACTGATGTTCAAAAAGTGTGACTAAGCGGGAATTGATGAACTGTAAACAGGGAGCCAGTCAGTCAGGGACTACTGGTCGCGCTTTGCCATGATAGTTCATCGCCTCGGGTGGGAACTGGGCTCCGAACCCATACAGATGTTATTCGAGGAGGGGTTGTCCCCAACGGTTAAGGATGAACTTTCCCGCGCACCCCGCCCACAGGGGATGGATCAGCTGACCAAGGCTGTGCTTGCGATTGGCGCGCGCCAGGAGCGCGGGCCCAGGAGAGGCGGGAAGGGAGAGAGCAACGTTGCCATGACTACCGCATTCCTGAAATACCAAGGCAGCCCTCCCCGCCAGCAGAGCCAATGGAAATAGATGGGGCGCGCGCGCGGGAAGTTTCAAGCAGCAGCGAAGGGCGCAAGAAGGAGGGAAAGGATTGGAAAACCTCCAAAAGGTGTTACCTTTGCCAGCGGCCAGGGCATTTTGCCAGAGCCTGCCCTCAAAGAAAGGCTTGGCAAGGAATGGTGGGAGCCGCAGGGGGTGAGGAGGAGGTGGTAAAGGAACAGGAACAGGGAAACGAGAACGCTTGGCTGCCAATCAAGGGGCACAACAGCCAAGCCAGCCACCAGTAAAGTGCCCCAACCAGACCCCCCCAAGGCGGCAATAGCCATCGAAGTGGTGCTAGAACTCCCAAACGGGCACCCAGTCAAGGTGAAAGGCATGCTGGATTCAGGCAGCTCATGTAATTTCTTCAGCAAGGACTTTGCATTAGAGCACCAGCTCCACTTACTGCCTTTGGATTTTCCCTTGCAAGTGACCACCATTGATGGCAGGGAGCTTCTAGGAGGGAAGTGACACACCAAACCCCGCCAATGAGAATGAGGGTGTCCAGGCACTCGGAAACCATCGCCTTTCACGTCGCCTCGCTAGCAGGACCCCTAATATTAGGGATGAGCTGGCTAGCACAACATGATCCAGTGGTGGCGTGGCATCAGAGGACAGTCACCTTAGGATCAGCTTACTGCCTGGAACACTGTCTAGGGGAAGCCCCAAGAATGACCGTGGCCAGGGTGGCTGGGATGGCGGTGGAGCGGAAAGGGGAGGTGCCGCCACAATACGCAGATCTGCGGGAGGTCTTCAGCGAAAAGGAGGCAGATAGACTGCCACCCCATAGGCCCTTTGACTGCCAGATCAACTTGCTTCCGGGGGCTCAGCTGCCAGTGGGTAAGCTGTACGCCATGTCAGACAGGGAGATGAAGGAGTTGCGAGAATTTATCGACAAGAACCTGAAAAGAGGCTTCATAAGAGAATCAAAGGCAGTAGGGGGCAGTCTGGTGTTCTTTGTGGACACAAAGGACACAAATAAACCCAGGCTCGTAGTGGACTATAGAGCTGTCAATTTGGTGTCAGAACCCGTGACCTTCCCAATGCCCAGGATTGACGACATTTTAACGCAAGTGAGGAAAGGCAAAATTTTTACCAAGCTGGACCTCAGGGGCGCATACAATTTGATCAGGATGAGGGAGGGGGACGAATGGAAGACCACAATGTTCACACCCCTAGGTGCCTTTGAGTACTTAGTTATGCCTTTTGGATTACAGTCAGGCTCCGCCTGCTTTCAAGCTTTCATGCACCACGTGTTGGGGTCTCTGCTGTACAAGAACTGCGTAGCCTTCTTGGACGACGTCTTAATTTATTCGGACAATGAGGAACAACATGTTAGAGACGTCAGGGAAGTGTTACAACGACTGCAGAAGCACCAGTTGTGGGTCAAGCTGGAAAAATGTCAGTTTCACGCCAGAGAAGTCGAGTTTCTGGGGTACAAGTTGTCTGACAAAGGCTTAGCGATGGACCCAAGCAAGGTGCAGGCAGTGCTGGAGTGGAAGGCTCCCAAGACACGGAAGGACGTACAGAGGTTCCTAGGGTTCAGCAACTTCTACAGGAAGTTCATCAAGAACTTCGCCCACTTGACAGCGCCAATCACGGATTGTCTCAGTAGCAAAAAGAAGTTTGTGTGGACAGAAGAGGCCCAGCAATCCTTCGAAAAACTGAAGAAGGCGTTCGCATCGGAAGAGCAACTCCTGCACGTAGATCTGGAGAAACCCCTGAGGCTAGAGACCGACGCGTCCGACAGAGCCGTGGGGGCGGTCCTTTTGCAACCAGGGAAGGGAAAGCAGGAATGGAAACCGTGTGCCTTTTTCTCCAGAAAACTGAGCAAGTCGGAGCAAAACTATACAGTGTATGACCGCGAACTGCTGGCAATCTACGCGGCCTTTCGTCGTTGGCGTCATCTACTGATAGGGGCGCAACAACAGATCCAGGTTTGCACAGATCACAAGAACTTGGAGTACTGGAGAACCGCACGAGTACTCAACCAGAGACAGATTCGATGGGCACAGGAGTTCTCCAAGTTTTTCTTTGAAATCCGCTACGTGCCCGGAGAAGAAAACGTAAGAGCAGACGCTCTCTCGCGTAAACCGGAGTACCTGGAAGGGGAGGGGCCGCCGGAGAAACGACACGTGATCCCTGAGGACCGATGGGTGTGTGGGGGAACTTTGGTGGGGAAACGAGAACTAGCCGGGCTGACCAGAAACGACGTGTTCGCGCAAACTAAAATCCGGGAACTACGAGACGGAAGAGGGACCCAAGAAGGGTTTGAGGAGAAGGAAGGGGTACTGTACTATAGGGGAGCGCTGTACGTACCGGGGGAAACCCTGAGGGAAAAAGTACTCAAACAACTCCACGACAACCCCACAGCAGGGCACTTTGGACAGCACAAAACCATGATGCTGGTGACCAGGCAGTTCTGGTGGCCCAGGGTGAGGGAGGATGTACAGGAATATGTACGGGGGTGCGACCGCTGCCAAAGGGCAAAGGGGGAGCGGGCTGCCCCACAGGATTGCTGGAACCCTTACCCACGCCGGGAAACCCTGGGAGGTGGTATCCATTGATTTTATGACAGATTTGCCCAAGTCCCGGGGAAAGACAGCAGTCATGGTAGTGGTCGACCTACTGACAAAAATGTGCCACTTTATAGCTTGCTCACATGCTGTAACGGCAGAGGAAACAGCCCGGTTGTTTGTGGAGCACATATTCCGGCTGCATGGCGCCCCTTGAGGGTTATCTCCGACCGCGGAAAACAATTTACTTCCCGGTTCTGGAGGAAACTCATGAGCTTACTGCAGGTGGAGGTGGGTTTCTCGACGGCGAGACACCCAGAGACCAACGGGCAAGCAGAAAGAGCGAACAGTATACTCCAGCAATACCTACGCTGCTATGTCAGCGAGAGGCAGAACGATTGGGTAGAAAAACTAGCGCTGGCTGAATTCGCGTACAACAACGCTGGAACACGTGTCCACGGGAATGAGCCCATTCATGGCCAACCATGGGTGTCATCCCAGGGCCTTCCCAGTGGGGAGGAAAGCTGGAGCGTACCCGCCGCAGAGCAGTTTGTGGAGGAAATGGAGGCCCTACACCAGCAACTTAAGATGAACTTGGAGCGGGCCAAGGAAACTTACAAGAGGCAGGCAGACAAGCACCGCAGGGAGGGGAGACCATACGGGTGGGGACCGGGTGTGGTTGTCCACCCAAGGGCTACCTTTCAAAGGGGGGTGCAAGAAGTTGCAGCCCAGACGGCTGGGACCTTTTGAGGTAACACAGCAAGTTAATCCCGTGGCATTTAAGCTCAGGTTGCCTGATAGCATGAAAATACACCCGGTTTTCCATAGGTCCCTGCTTTCACCGCATAGGGAAGGGCGGGAATTCCAGGGGCAAGAGGGAGAAGTCACCACACACCCGCAGGTAGAAGAAAGGGAACACCACCACAGGGCCACGGAAATACTGGACTCAAGGTGGCAAGGGCGCCGGGTGGAGTATTTGGTAGCGTGGGAAGGGGAACCCAGGTCCGAAAACACGTGGGTCCCCACGGAAGCCGTCGAGGACAGGTATCTGGTGGAGGTATTCCACCACCGGTTCCCGGACAAACCCAAACCCCTGGAGAGATTCTGGGAGGAGCAATTTGGAACCACAGATGAGGAAGAGGTTTTTGAGGGATTTTCTGA